CTTGACAATTAAAGAGAAGCAGGAGGTGAAGCACACATCCTGTCACAACCCCAGTCCAAGGTGGTCATCACACTTGCAGCGCAGAGAGCTCTAATCACTTGACCTGTTTCTCTGTACCGGAAACTGCTTGTGAGCACTTCTACTGAAAATTACCTTGAAACTAGAAATGATGTTTTCTCTCCCTCCCCCTCCCCTCCTCTTCCCTCCCTTCCTCTCTTCTCTCTTTTCTCTTTTCTAATAATACCCATGCAGTCTGTGAGAATCTAAAGCCTTTGGTCAGCTAGACTTAATGTAAAACCATGACTATATTACAACTACATGCAATTTACACAAAAAATATCACACTAAAACTGAACCATTAATTTAACATTTCAGTGATCTTGTAGTTACATATACATGTGGTTAAAAATTTGTGCTTGAAAAATGAACTGAGATCTTCATGCAGTAGGAAATTTTTACATGTCCAGGGTTCTCCAGGTTATAAAATGCTTTCCTGCAGCGCTGACTCTGGCTCCATCTAGTGATTCTATCTATAATTAAAGCAGAAGTCCAGCCTGCCCTTGAGCATCTATGATGTTTTCCAAAAGAGAGTAATTATCTTTTGCCAGAATTAAGCAGTGGATCTTGAAAATTAGGTTTTGGGATTTGGATATCACAATACATTTGTCTGGACAATACAAGCATCGCTTGTCCTTGCATAGATCTCAAGTGAAATTTAGCACAATGAGCTGCGTATGGACACGAAGCTGTACAGCCCCATGATTTTGAAAAATGCCCCATGTTTACATCCCACTTTCTCACCTCTCACCTGCTTTCAGTTTAAAATACCTGGAAAAATAAAATGTCAGATTCTTAATTTTTTCCTAATGTTCTATTCAGACAGAGGATTAAAAGCTGGTGGATTACAGTCTATTACAGATATCCAAGATGCTTGGGAATCTATAAAATTACACTTAATTTTGTCCTCAAATCATCAACTTCCCCACAGAGTATTGTTACTTGTGCTGGGGAGAGAATGTTTGACCTTGACTTATACTGGGTTCAGCTGAACAAATGGGATGGATCTGCTGGGTTTTTTTTATTCTGTGCACAGGATTAGGCAGCTGCAAGATCACTTGGCCTTCTATACCTGTGAATAAACTAATACTCTGACATGCATTGCTGCTTCTATTACACAATGTCACCTCAGGGCAGAAAACAGATTATGTGAAAGGATGGTAGCGGTATTGAATTTCCACAAAAATTATTTAGTAATAAACTACTTTGTAATTATTAAAAGCTAAAAAATCTTACCATTATTTTGTAATAACGAGGCTGTAAACACCCTCACAGTTAACAGTGGAGGTATGTGACTGGACCGGAGATACTCTTACTGTAACTTTGAAGTGATCTGGCTGAGTACTCCTGTAAACTCAAGTCTGAAAGCTTTGGCACTGCATATTTTTAGACTAACAAGTGTTATCTGCCAGACTTGAAAGAAGATGGTTTATTATTACTTACAGTTTGGGCATCTGCTTTTTCTTGAGAGATTCTTCTTGTACCTTCTGGACGTGACTAACCAAACTGTACTGAATTCAGGTAAAAAGTGTTTAATTGTATACTAGAAGATCTGGATAATCATACATTCCACTTCTAGAAAACATACAGATATAGTGTCTTTATTCAATATCTCAGTATCTCTCCAATACAAAGGGTGCAGGCCTCAGATGCACAAACTGACTCAAACATCCCCAGAAGTTCCACTTCTTCAATTATAACTGCAAGAAGCAGTTGTGTTCTTCAAACATAACCTTTTTTTTTTGAAAGGATCTTAATGTTTCATGTGGTGTTATCTGACTCCTGGATTAAGGACTAAGCATTTCAGGGGCCTACACATACATTTTTGAGATCTCCACCATTTTGAGATGACAGTGTTGTGGCTCTTTTAACAGGTCTACACTGCCTATCCGTTTGATTAACAAACGTTACCCATTTTCAATTTTGTGTCTGAGCCTTCAAGAACATAATAGCTCCTGGATCTTTATCAATTCTAATGACATGGGTACTTTTAAACTTTCATTGTTTAACTCATGTACTCTGCTTGTTTTTTCAGTGATTAGTTTCCTTTGTAATTTTCCCTGAAATATTGCCTGAAATGCATGAACTTTTTGACATGACTTAACTACATATAACAAGAAAGGAGCAAGCAATATTAAAAAGAGGAAAGAAACTTTAGAAGTGAACATCACTCCAAGAGAAATGTGAAAACCCTCCAGATTCTATATAGACAAGGTTGAATTGCAATTATTAAAATGTAAAAAATACCTTGCTAAGTAATTTTTATAGGTTATTGTGTCACAGAAAAAAAAAAAAGAGAAATACCATCCTAAGATACTGTCTAGTTCTAGTGTTCTAAAGATTAACTGGCCAATAAACAGCAAAACTTAAACCCTTCAGTATTGCTTTTGAGTTTGTTACAGGCAGAACCAGGGGGAGGAAACAAGAATTAACACTTGCAGAGAAAAAAGTGAGAAAAGATATAAAAAGAGCTGCAAAGAAAATGCTCTGTAAATGATTCAGGTAACTTTAAGTATTCTCATTTCACAGTCCAAAGTCTACTAAAAAAGAATCTCACAGCTACCATTGTGTCTGGTAACAGTTTCTCACTGTGCAGTATTTTCATCTGTCATTTACACAGAGAGCAGTCTAAGCATCTTTGAACACTGAGATAAGAAATTTAGGAGTTGCTTTTACTAGACAAGATCTACTTGACATTGAAATTATCATGTTTTAGATCAGTGAAATATGTGTTTGCTCATAGATGAAACTAATTCTACTGCAAAGCTTATTTTTTGAGCACGGGAATGCATACTTAAATTTAAAACAGTAAGTGTTCAAAGGAAAGCTTTAAAGTCTCAGCAGAATTAAGTGTTTCAGAATTACTACTGAAAAATCAGAAATAATAAATTTTGTTGCCGATTAACTTTTTTTTCTTTTTCTTTATTATGAGATTTGTAAAGAATACAATTTACTTTGACTGGATTTTCTCTTCTGCCAACATTTCTACTGAGGAATACCCACAGACATTCTGCAATGACTCTGATTACTTTCAACAGCATCTCCAGACTTAAAGAATTCTGAACTGTGTGGCTTGGTGACTAGAGAACTGGAAAATATTATTTTATAAAGTTCATGTAGTACTGATACAATAAAATGAGGCATGAGGCTTTCATTGAGGTCAATTATTGTGGACAAGAAGAGCAGATTATTATACAAGATACTGAGGTGAACCAGTGCAGGGGTAATGCAGTACAGTAATTTTTTGAGTTTACAAAAGACAGTAAGCTGATATTTGCTGCTGATCACATATGCAACTCTGTATTATTTACAGCTGGTGCTGATTTATCTGGCAGGCACTATACAGGGCATTTTACCAAAGGTAACTCTTACCTGAATGTAATGACCACAAACCTTAGTACAGTTCTGCACTGTGAAAATTTAGAATCTGACCACATCATACCACAATTCAATGGCATCAGCAACATTTTATGCTTCATGACTTCTAACCCAAATATTCTCTCCAACAGGTGTGAAATTAGGATGGCATTGATATTTCTTACTTAAGCATACGTTATGTTCAAAAATGCATTTATTGTCTGTGCCCTTGCAGTATGTGCCAAAGCTGCATCCCAGGTCTGCAAAACATGAAAGGTGAAATAGTTGTGCAGTGTTAAGTTACAGCCAGATCTTAAACAATCAGATAAAACCAGTCATCAGTAAAGCACATACACTGGAGTTTCATAAGGAAATGCTTTCCCTTGTTTAGGCAAGTACCTATTTTATTTTAATTGAATTTTCCTGTTGCAGCACAAAAATATGAGCTAATTTCGTTGGACAAGTTTTTCCTCCTTTCACTGTTTAAATTAACTTCGTATGAGCACTTGCTAGCAACTGAAAATATGTTTGAAATGCACTTTTATTTTCAGGTAAGGAATTACTGTCTCGTTAATTAAACATGAAACTTTGGTTTTGTTTTTGTTTTTTTGGTTTTTTTGTTGAACAGGTCATTAATTTCAATTTGATTAATAGAAATTAATTTAAAGTACAAATACACAGATACTATAAATTTGACTGTATAAATATTTTAAGTATTTTTAAGTGAGCCTCTGGAAACGAATAAATATTTGGTCCTCCTATGATAAAGCTTTAAATACACATCACAACATTTTACAGAGATGCTTCATGAGGTAAACATGCTAATACTTGGGCAGTAACTCATTCTGCTGCTTCCTCCTTCTTTGCAGCTTCTGATTCTGGAATGTGAATGATTGTTGGTGTTTGTCTTCCAGTCATGACTGTTTTTCAGCAAGTTTCTTCTACCATTAAAGTATTTAATTTGATGTGTTAATAAAAGATGCTTTGGTTTATTGCCTATGTTTACAAGTGTTCGTGTGCTTCAGTCTGCTCTTAGTTTCTTTGTGGATCTTACAGTCCACTGGCTGCTTATAATCTTTTCTCCCCAAGGCCTTTAGTTTTTGCTCACCATATCTGTACGTGCATACTTGTAGTCATAACTTTTTTCTGGTTTTCCTATTCCTGATTATTAAAACTGGGTGTGGTGTTTTTCACGAATTTCTTCACTTCTTAAATCATACCTCCATATCTGCCAATCCAGCTTAAACCCCACCAAAGCCATCAGTATCCGAGTACACGCATGTTCCCAAGCATGGTCAGGGTGCTCATCCTTTAGCTGCCCATTGCTGACAACACGTTCCTCTTGTGGTGCGAAGAGGACTAAACGTCAAACATCTGCATTTTCTGCATCTTCTTCACTTCTGTTTAACCCTTTCCAGCAAAAAAAAATGTCTAGAGCAATTTGTTTCAGCTACCACAAGCAAAGATTCATCCTCGCCACCAGAAATCCCCTCAGTCTCAATACTGCAGTTCATATCCTTGCTTTAGTTGGAGAGTCTGACTCTTGTGGAGCAGTTCTCCTGCTGGACTTCGGCTTGTTCCGAAGGAGAAATTCCTTGGGTGAATGCGGACATGTTCGGCTGGACCGCCTCGGGGAGCCGCCGGGGGTCGCTGTGCGCGGCTGTCCCGGGCGCCGGGAGCGGCTCGGCCGCAGAAAGGCGGCAGGACGCGGCCATGGTGCTGTCGGCCGTGCAGCAGGTGGTGGTCTCGGCCGTGCTGGTGCTCTGCGTCTTCGTCGTCCTGCCCAGGATATTTGGGGGAGGAGGCGGCGGGCGGCCGGGCCGGTCTCCGCGGGGCGGCAGGGCCGCTCCGGGCCACTACGATCCCCGGCAGCACGGCAGAGGTAGGAGCCGCGGCCGTGCCCGGGGCCGCGCCGCCGTCGGGGCTCTGTGCGGGAGCCGCCCCGGTCTCGGGCGGCTGGAAGGGAACTCCGGGAGCCGAGGGGGCTGTGCCCTCGTCTGGCGGGAGGCGCCGGGGATTGTACACGGCCTGTGGAAGGGGAGGCCTGGTCAGACAGCTCCGAGCTGGCCTGTGTGCGCCTTAAACATCCCCCACCCCCTCCTGTGGTCTGCTTTTCTGGTTCATCAATGCTTGGATTTTCGTCTGTGCTGTGTTAAGAAAACTGCTTTTAAATGCAGTATGACGAGAAGCGCCCGCAGGGGCACAGTCGGACCGATGGGGAGCTGGGAGGTGTCACAGGGAAAAACTCCCTGCCCGTGTTAGAGGTGCAGTAGAGGTGCAGTAAGGAAGCCAAGTCTTACTGTTAGTAAAATATATGCACAGTCATATAAAATCTGTCCGGGTATGACTGAAAACAATCCTTAAAAAAAAGCAACACTTCACATGCCTGTGATTCTGCTGGTGTACTGGCCCAGCACTGAGTAAAATAAATTTGAGACAGATCTCCTATTCTCACCTGTCTGGGCTCTTCTCCTGTTTGGCTAGTAAGTCACTTTGCTGTTTCTTCTGTGGAATAAACTTGGTACAAGGCACTGGACTCTGTTAGGATTCAACATTCTTCCTTGGTGCCCACAAGGTGTTTCCTTTGCCACGTTCATTTGTATGACTTATAGAAATTTTTTTCATCTGTTATATTAGGTATTTTAGTAACACTTCTCCTTTACATTAAAAACAAACAGAACGTAGGGGCAAAAAAATGAGTGGAAATGTATAACTTTCCTGGCTAACTCATTTTAGGCAGTTCTAAACACTGTTCGAGTTCTCTTATCACAAAGTACCAGCTTAGGTTATCAGGATTAGATTACTTTTTTTTCTCTCATAGTTGGCAGAAGCTGTAGCCAAATAGTTGTTTCACTGGTAGGTGTAACAATTTTTTTGTCTACCTGGTTGTGGCTGTATCTTGCACACTTGAATTCTGTTATTGTGAGTTCTTCAAATTCCACTGTTACAATATTAATTGAAAAGTGATTTGTACGATGGTCTTTAGTTTGGGAGTTTTTATAGAATGTGAATCTTGTTAAACCCATATTCAGATAAATTTGAAAGTGTAAGTGTAGGCAGTCAGTTGAGACATTGGTGTAAAACTTCACAGTCTCTCAAACACCTGCTGTCTGCCTCTGCAAGCATCTGCATTCTTCAGCTGATATTACTGTTTCTTATGTGCATGTCCCATGAACCCCTGATTTAACTACCAAATAACCTAATGCCTAAATTGAACAATGATGCTAGCTGTGCTTTCATCTGCTCCTTGTTCTGGCAGGCAAATTACATGCAAAAATACTGCAGACTTCCAAGGCTGCATGTCTTTACTATTGTGTAATCTTTTCACGCTAAATATTTGATTTGCAGAGGTACAGTACTTCTAAGCCTGTGGGAATATCTACATAACACTGAATTTACTGTCAAAATAGTGAAAGCAGCAACACACCATTTGTATTTCAACAAATTTTTTTTTTCTGCAACCAGACAATTCAGTTTGTAAATAACTCCTTTCTTTTGTTAGACGAGAAATATTAATTTCTAACTGTTTTCAGCACTATCAGTAGTTTCTCTGAATTTGCTTTACTTTCAAGACTTAAATTGTTTCTTTTTTACATCTACCTTTCTGTGGTTTGCTGAAGGTTTGCCAACGTTGCTGTGAAGGAAAAAGCTTAAAACTTGTATATTATAGAAACCAAGCTTGGTTTGAGAGTCTTTGCTACCTAGATTCAACTGTGCATCCTGTTAATGTAAGAGCGATTTTTAATTTTTTTATTTGGATGCAGGGCTGCCCACACTGTCTTAAAAGAGTGATGAACAAAGATGATTACACAAGAGGAAAACAATGTAATTGCATTTGTGGACTCCTAATTTCCTTTCTTACTTTGTTGTTTTTCTCTCAATTTCATTTTTAAGGTAGTCCTCAGACAGTTTATCAAGTTCATCGGAATCCAGGAAATTCTGACAGTAATACTTACCAGAGTATTCAACAGATGAGAAATGCAATGGAAAAAGAGATAAAAAGTGAGACAACAAGAGGGAATGGTAGAGAGTTAGCATTCACCCTCATGCCGTTGTATGCTCTTGGAGTGGGAATGTTTGCAGCATACAAACTTCTTAAGGTAAGCCATAGGAAAAGCATTAAATTATTGAAATTAGAAGGAAATGTAACTGCTTGGCTTGCTTGCTTTTCCAGTTCTGAGACCATGTATGTGGGTGTCAGAAAGCAATTTCTTGCTCTCTTTGACTTTGAATGTGAAATCCAAAGTTAAAAAAAAGAGTATCTCATTCTTACTTGTGAAGGCTTCTGACTTACCTATTTTTAGACACTTGAAGAAGTGAGAATCTTACCCACCCTGCAGCCTCAAATAAGAATCTGAGAACCTAAACAGTGCTGCTACCTGAGGCTGTAACTTAAGCCTCATCAGTACTTCATTTCTTTTTCATTCTTCATAATGAGATTGAGTATGGGAAGGAAGTGGACAATTCCTGCAGAGCAGTTGTCTTTGATTAGCAGTTAGATAGAATAGCGACTAGACTGAACCTTTTATTTGGACTTCTCATTTGATCGTGCATCTGTAACCTACGTTTCATTCATGTAATGGGATGGCTTTTCTACCATTTGTAAAAAAAGGAGAACACGTGATGAGTTGTTTTTAAAAAAACATCAGTCTTGATATGCGTTATTTATAGGAAGAGATACTACAGCACTTGCAATACTGAGAGTGCACCTGCAATATTGTTGCTTGCCTTCAGGGGAAATGAACAGGAATAGGACTGGAGATGGCATCTTCGTTTCTGTAGTGAGTTTCTTATTTCACATGTGAGAAAAATACCACAGCTTAGCACAATGAGTGTAGAGGATGCCCAGTTTAATATTTAAAAATTATGAAAATCTTATTTTGGGTGGTTACAACTCTTTACACTTGGGCTTGTTGGATTAAAACATAAATATTTTTATAATAACGTGTTTATACTGTAAGAAAGAAGTTTATCTCCTAGTTAACGGTAAGAGAACGGATGCAGTAACCTAGAAGATTTCTTCTGTTCCTTTGGGAAAACCGAAGTTGAAATAGCAACTGCTTTCTTTTAAAGCTTTTGTTAGTCATGTTGTCATTGCATAAAATCAGAAGTGTTAGTTTAAGACAGGAAGCAGGCATCACAGAAGAAAAGTTTCATTACTGTAGTACATTTTTGTGGTTGCTGTTTGCTTTCAGTAAATTTTTAAATGCATTTTTGTTCTTAATACACAAATAATGATGAAGTTTTTTAACACTGTATTTATTAAAGATGAAATCACATGAAGAAAGTAATTCCAAAAAGGAAAAAAGTACAGAAGACAAGGCAAAGGAAACAGGTAAGAATGCATATTTTCATACACTTATTGCCTGCTGGACCAAAGCTACATGTTTTTGTTGATGCAGTCCAGCTGAATAAGAACAATCTTTTAAGTTACTTAAGAGCAGTTAGCAACCTACAAAACCCCACTTTGTTATTCTGTATATTTGAAACACTTGTTTGAGGTTTGTTTAAATACTGCAGATGGTAATACTCTTTAAAACAGCTATAGTAATATAGTATGATTCTCTGTCTTTTAGTGTCTGATGTTTTTCTCACTTAAGATCTGTTGGGTTTTCTTCAGTTTAAATACATTATAATTATTTGATGGCACATCAAAGTTGAGCTGTTTTCATATGTTTGCCCCCCTTGTACAGACCTATTTTTAGTGAATTAAACAACTGTCAGCCTCTTTCGGTGTCTCCATCCACCAGGTCTGTAATCAGGTTCAGCAGTGATTTGTTACACTGCCTAGTCACCATCCTTGTGTGTTGGATTCTTCTTTCTTCAAAGTTCAGTACAGCTTTAGGAAGAATCACTCTTCTTGATTCTTGTGCATTCAGTTTTAAATATATTTGTGAGGTGTGAGTGGAGAAATTCATGACTGTATATTAAGTATAAATACAGTACTTACACCTCAGGAAGTCTTGGAACTACATCGTTTTTGTGACTGGGAAGGTGAGCTTCACATTCTCATTCAGTTTCTATAAAGGTGTCCTCTGTTTGGGGACTACTGGAGATAGGTTATTGGGTGGGAAGGATTTTGCTCACACATAGTAAGGCTTCTGTTCTTACCCCCCGACTCCCTTTTCACATTCTGTAATTTTACAGATAAAAGAAACTTCCTGTTTTTGAATCTGCCCAACCAAAATGTAAATTAATATCCTTCTGGTATTGTAAAGACATTTCTAACAAAGTTTTCTCTCCTGCCCCCCTCTTTCCCTTTTTTCTCCTCTCCCCACCTCCCTTCTTTTTTTAAATTTTTTTTTTCCTTTTTTTTTTATTAGAGCATCAGCTTTTAGAACTGGAGCGGCATCTAGCACAGACAGAGAAAATGTTAAATTCTTTATTGACTCAGTTGGATCCACTTTCAAACTGGTGAGTGTTTCTGAAACTTCTCAGTGTAGTTTTTCTGTAAATTGAAATTTGCAAAAATGTTAACAAAATTCTTTAAATGATCCATATGTATATATGGTAAGGAACAGTTTTTAGGAACCTTCTTTAATTAATTACTGCTTCTGTAGCCTTTTGCAAGTAATACCTCTTCTGCAGTTTGCGATCTTTTCTACAGATACCTCCCATCTCTTGTTCACCAAACATTAATGCAAAAGTTCAGACTTACGATTGTGTTACTGTGGCTTAATGAGTTAAACTTTAATATTGGCCAAGGAGACTAATACTGAAAATATACTTAATTTCAGTAGCATTTGAAAGCCATTGTGAGAATTACATTTCTGGTAGCAGAAAGAGTTTCTTCCTTTAGATGCAAGTAGAAGAAAAAATTAGTTACCAAGGTATAGCTGCTTACTTTTGTGTTTTGAAATGAACCTGTAAAGTGTGTGTGTATTTCAGTGAAATATAACTTCTCTGTTGTAGTGTGACAAGGGAAATCAGTAATATATACTCCTTGTAGTTTTAGAGAAGTTCCTTTCTTAAGAAGCTAGAGCCTTACTCATCTACTAGAAATAAAAATATGTATGCAGTCCATTTTGTGGACTGACATCCTTCATGAAACTCAGGTTAAAACATGCAGAATTTTATGACTGTTCCTTTAGTGTACTTCGAACGTAATATGTGCTGAAACTGTTAAACAGCAAATCCACTGAACAATTTGCCTAACCAGTTCCTAGTAGTGATGGCCAGGAGAGTAAAGAAAGTCTGAACTAAATGAGAAGAGCCTCTAAACTGAAAAGTTCTGTATTAGGTATTGTGGTACTAAAAATAACTTTGGTTAATTGTTTCTTTCAGTAGTCATTACTCAGCCTTGGCCATTGGGACTCCAAAGTTAGAATTCAGTGATTAGATTATTCAGTAGGTGTACGTGATGGGCTCCCCACTTCTCAAGAGACAGTTCTTCAAGGAAAGCTTGACCTAAATGTGTCACAAAGTTAACTATGGTATTTATCCATTGAAGGAAGTATTTCAGTCTTGTGCATTTTTATCAAGCACTCACTTCCGAGATAATCTTTCAGCTGTTAACATTTGTCTTTTTTTCTAGTGTTAATGCTTTAGCTTGTGAGCAGAAAGATGAAATAATGACACAGCTCCAATCAATCAGACGACTGATGAAAGAAAGTGGATTGGATAAATCAGAAAACAAGATGAAAGGTACTTTAATTTTCAGATGGGTAGATAACTAAGTATTTTATATTTTAAAAGAATAAATAGATCTTACTACAATAATATTCAGCTCCTGCACCATAGGTAATTTGTGTGGAATTAGTTTTATTCTGCAGGAGTACCATTCTTCCTGTTTCAGGTATATCCAATTTCAAATTTTTGATACATTACGTTTTTTTAAGATTAGGTGATAAAAGACATTGAACTGGGATGGACCATAGAGTCGCATTCTCCTTTGTTAAAACAGGCTTTTTGAATGTCAGTTCCTAAGCAGTCTGTTAGTATTGGACTAACTTTAGTCTGAGGATTCCCAAATGAGGACCTCTGAGGCTGTCGGTAATGCTTGCATAAAACACTAAACAGCAAATTGTATATTAATTTCAACTGAAGACTTCCAAGAGCTGCATAGTAGCCCAAGTAAAAAAATGTTAAGAATGGTTCACTAGAAATTTGGGGAGTTTTTGCATTATTTGAGTCTTAATAAAAGAGAAAAAAACAAACAGAAAAAATATTCTGCTTCTAAACTGATCCTGAAATTTAGAGCCTTTCCAGTAAAGATTCATTTTGATTATTTTTTGTGTATTCCAAGATCTTGGCCACATCTGTAATGAGAAACTTGAAGATCTCATTCAGTCATTTGCTGAACATTCTCAAGAGAAAGAAATGGACAAGGGAGAAGATGGTTGTTATGAAGATTTGCTTGAAGATTATAGTAACGATTACAAAATAGAAGAGCATGAATTACACCATGAATGTGAAATACATCAGTTGGAGCCAGATGTCTTAGAAGACCAAGAAATAACAAACAAAGATGCCACTGAATCAGAAGTGATGGGACCTAGGAGACGCAATAGATATGAATGGAATCTGCATATGTAAAACTTTAAAAGCTTTTGCATTTTTTTTATAACGTTGTATGCACTTTAAACTGTTTTAAATCAACTTAACATGCACTGCTATATGCTTTAAAAAGAGCAGTGAAATACTGCCTGTGCTCATATCTACGACAATTCTGTAACTGACTTCAGTGGCAGCAGAATTTTACTCAGGATGTTTACATACTTTATTTATTTTTCCCTATCAGAATATTTCTGTAATCTGTATATAATGCACTGTAATTACATCTGATGCTTCACTGAAATATTAGAACGTCTTCTAATTGAGACTATAAAGTAGAGGTGTTTCATAAATATAACTAGTAAGCATGATGCCACTTGAACTATGACTTTCTTGAGTTCATTAAAGAGCATGCACTGGTGAATTTAGCACTTTGTGGAAATCATTTCTCTAGGGTGGTATGGAAAGCAGTATGGATTAAGTCTTTGAGATCAATTCATAGTTAAGTTTATTTGGAGAGAGAAATTTAGCTATGGACACTATGTAAAAATAATTATATCTGAGTTTGCAGTCTCCTAAGTAATTATGTGTAGTTTTGTATGTCAGTTTAAACCCTAATGAATTATGCTGGATCACTTAATTCCTTCCGTACCCGTCACTGGTTAAACTCAGCAGCTGTCTAGTAACTGATTAACCCATTAGTATTACATCACCATTTCATGTTTAACACAAAAGAATCTCGCCTTTTGATTCATTGCAATACAATTTTTCTTACATCAGAAGTAACAGATGTATTGCTACGTATCATTGAAGAACTGTGGGTATGGGGGGTTCTTTTTTCAATACATTATGCCAGCTCAATAGTGGCCTTTTTAGGTCATTGTTAAGAAAAACGTTTGTTTTCCTTTGCCAGAATAATTTTTGTCCATACCTTCATTTTTTACTATTTTTTGTTCACTTAACACACATGTTACCGTGGTACTGCCAGCCTTTAATGACAGGCATTGCCTTAGAGGTACGTTTGACAGTACAAAGCTATTAAATTTTCTGTGTTACAATTGCGTAGCTTTTAAGTAGGCCAGTTATAATGCCTGAACTCTTTTGCCATCCTTATTCTTACAGGAAAATAGCATGTGGATTTGTTTTTCTGGAGGAAATGTACTGTACTTAAAGGGACTAAATCCATTACTGTGTCACTCACTGGAATGGAATTAATTGTTCATTCTGGTGTATAAACATGGTATGTCTTTGGTCCTAAAACTGAATCACACAGGCTTGGAAGTAGCAGCAGCCAGAAATACATCCTTAGCGTCAGTGTACTAGTAGTTTTGCAGTAGGTGAGATTTTGCCTAACTTTGGAAAACTGATGGGAGTACGAAGCCAGGGTTTCTTAAGGGGGCACAGATTTTTCCCCAAGACAGAACGGACGAATCAGAAGTAGTACTTGGACACAACTGAATTTTTAAAAATACCTGATCTTGGTCTGGTCATTCAGGACACCTGGAACTGTTTGAAAAAGTCATTGTTGCATACAGGCTTTTTCTCTGAGATGCTTAATAAAGTGAACTGAAACTAATTTCAAAACCATTGATCAGGGGGAATGAGGGAATGGGAGCCAGGCGTGCTGTGCTGCCGAAGTGTTTGCAGAATGTAGGTCAGTCCTGCTGCCTTCCAGGCGCTGTGCTGGTGTCCTTTCCCGCAGGATTTCCCTGCCCGCGGCAGTGACCAAACCATCTCTGTGGTGGCTTTCATGTCGCCTAGTCTTCGGATGCTGCTGATACTTGGAGCCCTTATCCGAAAAGGTTTGGGCTACTCTGGAGTAATCGCTGTATTTCGGACCCAGGGCACCGTGAGCCGCTGCAATTTTGAAGTCTCCGGTTCCGGCTGCCGGGGTTTGTGAAGGACACGACTGCGTGCGGTGTGTACGCTCCCGGCTTTCCCGGCGAGGCTGCGGGGGCCGCCGGGGCAGGGCGGGCAGGGAGAGCCGGGCACGCAGCCGTGCCCCGGGCAGGGCGTAGGAGCAATCGGGAATTCCGCTTCCCCATTGCGGCGATGTGCCCCCGAAGCGTGGCTGGGATCGGCCCCCGCCCTCGGCGGCAGGTGGGGCGCGGGCACCCCGGAGACGCGCGGGGGCCGGGCCCGCTCCGCCGGCCGTGCGCGGTGGGACGGCTGCGGTGAGACACAGCCCGCCGGGAGCCGCCCGGTGCCCCGCGCCTCTCCTGGGAAAACGCGTCGTTTCCTTGGAGCTGCCGAGCCCATGGTGTTTATTTCGCCTCTTACAGCGTTCTTGTTCGTGATAAAAGTTATTTCGGCGTGTGAACCATTAAGTACAACAGTGCTCTCTCCCTTCCCCTCTGTGCCTTCAGGTGGGAGGATACTCCATTTCAGGAGAGGCTGGAGGCCGTGCGAGGGCGTTCCGCATGCCCTGAGGGGGAATGGCTGGAAGTCTGTGCGGGGAGAGAGCGGCTGTGCCCATCCGAGGAGGCCTCGCCGCCGTGCCAAGCTCGGTAAAGGAGTGGGCGCTTGGGGATTGAAACACTGTGTGTAGTTAGAAATGCGGTCACTTTCTGTGGGGGATGGTTTGGAAGTGGAGCGTCCGATTGCTGGGAACTAAATGGTGGGCTTTAGGTTCAAAATGGGCTGAGTGGAAGGAGAAGCCAGCAGAGCAGGAGATGGCTTGACGATGAATGTCTTTCTGGAGCTCTCGGAGGCTTTCTGTGTGTCGGGAGGGCCCTTTTGTCTTCCTGAAATTACCTGTTCCCAGGGCATGGTGCGAAGGAGAGCCAGCAGTTGTAAGTGAAGAGTACAAAAGGTTTGATGTTGCGAAGGGGTAGAAAATTAGTAATGCTCATATGAGAGGCTATCAAGAAGTGTAAGGGAAAGAGGGAGTTAAGATTGAGACAAAGACGTACATTTGAACAGGAATATGGTTAAGCATTAGTAAGGAAAGACTGAAATTAAGAAGTGGTAAAAAAGGGAAGCCAGCAACATTTCATAGCTTGCTGAAGACAATACCCAAATTCTTTCTAATGCAATAATGTGGGGTTTTTTTCCAGAAGTGCGTATATAAAAATATGCTTTTCTCAGTAGTCTTTCCTGTTTTTCAGTTTGTTCTGAAAGCTATCATTGAACTTGCATGGATTTGGAAGTGAAAGGAGTTGCTGCATCCCCTCGAAGGCAGGTTGAGCTGTCATTGAGGGGAAAGAAATGTCAGGTATGTTAATGGAAGGCTTGTGGTTGTTTTCCTTCCTTACTTTGACATTTTCACAAATATTTTAATCATACTTCAGAAGTTTCTTAGTTTGAGGTTATAATCCATTCTATAGAAAAGAAAACTTTTAGAGAAATTTTTGTCAGAAAGGGATAGTTTAGTATGACAACTTCTCAAATGAAGGTGAGAAATTCCAATAAAAACAGTTGTCCTAAAATAGTTGATACTCTTAAGTACTCAATTGGGATGTGGAGATTTTAAGAATGAACTAGTACTTGCAATTAAGAGCAACAGAGGCTTGAATCTGTACTGTGTGCTGCTGTCTCAGGCTATTGGTGAAAGTGGTAACAGGTGTGTCTGGTTTTGATTTGCAAGACGTCAGTAAAGGAACCCCAAAAATATAATTTGAAAAGGCATGATTTTAGATTGACGGGTAAAATGAATGAGTGCTCTGCATTCAGAATGAAGGCAAATTTTGTTTTCCTGGTATTCCTAATATGCTTTGAGATAAGACAGGTATGCAACCCCTGCAAGATCACTATAGCAGAAACTTTCAGGCTAACTTTTGAAAGTCAGTACAAATAGGATCTTGGATTCTGAAGGCCATTGCTTTTCTTATAGCTGAGGTAAATATTAATATTGTTATTAACAGTTGATTTTTCTCACAGATACTGTGTACTTTATGTCTGTGAACTAAAGTTAATTGCTAATCCTCTCTCAGCCCCCAAGCACCCATTTAACTTCCTTATTTGTTGCATGACCCCATCAGGAATTCTTGGAGTTTGCCAAGTTGCTATTTTTTCTTGTCACTTTCATTTGGAATGAAAAAGGACCTTTTGTAAATGTTATCAATTTTATAATGTTAACTTTTAACCAGGTTTTTGAAATCTAAATGCCTGTGTACAACAAGAACATTTGAGGCATTTAGTGTAGGTTGTAAAAGAAAAGAAATGACAATTTTTCTCTAATTCTCTCATCCCTTTCTTTCTTCTTTCTTGTGCATCTAAGTTTCCAAATTTAGACTCCCTAGTCCATGTGATTCTTGGTAGTTTGAAAAAATAAATCTTAAATGAAAGTTAGATTGAAACCATGTGCTTCACCCCAGTCTTCAGGATGATTTTTGTTTGCTTTCTTCCTGATCTGATGACTTCTGAAAAAGGAATTACATTAAGGCTGTAACATTTAGAATGTGATCTGTTCTTTAACGCATCACAGTTGTGATGGTACAGAAAAAATATGAACTTGAGATTTAATGCATTGCATTTAGTCGTAAGGATGAAGATTAAATTGTGTTTGACCCCTTAACGGTTTTATGTACGTGACCACACGGTGGCGGTGTCATTTCGTGCGACCGTACTGCATAGAAACTGTCTTTTAAACCTGAATATGCTGAATAATGTTTTGAAGGCACTAGAGCAGTGTTGCTGAACTTCTTTTTTGGGAGCAGGCCACAAGGGTGTATGGAAAGAATGGAGTTACAGTTTTGTGAGTTATGTGGCTGCTCTCAAATCGTGAAAGATGTTTGGGCACTGCTGGAAGTAGCATGTCTGGTCAGTTCAGGCTGTGATGCTGAGATCTCTGAGCTCAAAGGTTTGAAAAGAGATTTTGGCCCTGGTTCTGAACATTCTCGATCCACATTTTTTTTCCGACTGGGAGGCCAGTTTGGGGAGTTGTTACGGTGTGCTTGCCACCGCCAAGCTGCCTTCCCTGGGGATTTGCTGTGAGCTGTTTTCAGAAAGTCATAGGGGGATAGGTAGATGAAGCTTTGGCTCGAGTCTTTTCTTCTTGCCGTGTTCTTGCTCAGTTGAGTTTGGAGATCTGTGAGGTACACAGCAAAATAAACAGTGGGAGCTGCCTAGTCATCATCATGTACTTCTACGCTGAAGCTGAGATGAAACAGTTCCAACAAGTATCAGGGGTTCTTGGGTGTCTGAGCTAGCTCCTTGTGAGCCAGCTTGTTGTTGATATTGTGGTTTTGGTTTAAGGGTAGGTTCCCAGGCAACAAGGACAATGTGACCTAAAGCCCTGTGAGCCGTGATGGTACAAAGCCTCAGGAACATGGATTATTTTTAATGTATTATTAATAGCTGATGTGGATGCTGTCTGGATTCTTAATGGCTGGGAATCTTTCTGTCATGATGATGAATACTCAGTCATTCAGTCTGATGATCTGTAAGAATCAGCTTTCAATGAGTTCTTTTCTTCCTGTTTGTAGCAACTTCATCAAGTATGTCAGACAGATAGTTAGAGCCATTGGTTTTAAATATTTAAGGGGAAATTGAAAGAGAGAACTATATATTTTAATCCTTATCCCCTAGGTATGTAATCATGTGTCATTTTTCTAGGGCTGGAGACCAGATACACGGACTAGTCACAGTCCCCGCCCACCAGAGTAAGTCTGCTTCTGTTTCTGATCCTTTTATTTAATTGTGCATTATTAACACAATGCATTTGCATTTGTATTGATGTGCAACTCACTGTTCCATGAAATTTGTTATCATAGGTTTGTTTTCTGTGATTTGTTTTTGGAGTAGAATATTTGATGCATTCTTTACATTGGAATTAAGTTGATTTACGTTTGGTTGAGCTTAACAGTGGAGTTGTAATCACAGAATCACAGAATGGGTAAGGTTGGAAGGGACCACAGTGGATCCAGCCCACTGGTCCATCTGGTCCAACCTCCCTGCTCAAGCAAGGTCATCCTGGAGCACATGGCATGGGATTATGTCCAGATGGTTCTGGAATATCTCCAGTGAGGGAGACTCCACAACCTCTCTGGACAGTCTGTTCCAGTGTGTGGTCACCTGCACAGTAAAGACGTTCTTCCTCATTAAAAATAAGAGATCGTATTGCTATTAAAATAGTTTTAATTTTCTGCAGGGTACCATGCCTAGATCTAGGGAAGCTGGGAGATTCTGATGAAGAGGTAATTATTCTGTGCTGAATAGTTTTTAGAATTCATGTGTTGCAGGAGTTGGTAAAAATACCACTCTGAATGTAAAACAATTATGATTGCTTATGTCGTTTTTTTCCTGTAATTTTAGGATGGGGACTCTTACATACCGTACAGTGGAAGCTGTCCTCATACATGCCAGCTAGATTCATCTTCAGATTGGAGAACGTCATTACAAACGCCATGTGCACAGCATCAACATGTCAGTCTGTCACTACAAATATCTTTATAATATGCCCCTTTAGTAGTAATTTAGAAAAGCATACATACCTTTTTTTTTTACACAAGTTCTCTCTTTTTTCCTTCTGGTTAAACTCATTTCTCCAGCTACTGTTGGTCAAAAAATATTTTTGTCAGAGTACTTTTTAATGAGAAGCCTCTAGGATATTTCAAAAAACCTATTTTCTTACGTACCTTAGCTGTTCCTTGTTGGTTGATACACTTATCCTTTTGTTGTAATTATTTTTAAGATATGTATTAATAGCTAGTTTTATTAACAATTTGTCAAAGGAACTGAAAAATATAATACTTTTGAGATAGTAGCTAACTTTAGTTTGTCTCTTCAAACAAAGTGAAACTTCAGAAAAAATTAAGATCGGTAGCAGTCAATAAGTGTGTGATTGAAGACAGACACCATGTTTACAAGCACTGAGTATTGCTTCTATGGAAGAGTTGTTACTTCTGGTGAAAAGAAAACTTTTGAAGTTACTTGCAGACATTTCATAGGATTTTTCTTAAGGCTGTTGTCTAAACCAGAACTGTGACATAAACTTTGGAATTATGTTCAGTTTGTCATAGCTCTTTTATTTGTTACAATTTCCTGATTACATGTTAGCATTTTTTCCCATTTGATGACTAAGAAACTTAATCACTGCTAATATTAGATTCTTTATAAGGAAAATCAGTAGCCCAGATGCTAACATTTTGGTTTATAGTACAGTAAAGCATTGTTCAGGATCAATCTCTGCTGTAAAAATTTGAAGAATTAATCTGGTTATTCAGTCATTACAGTTCCCTGAATGAAGTTTAATTTTCATTTAAACTCTTATATTTAAATTAAATTTGAAAAAATGAATATGACGGGTTTTTGTTTGATCATGATACATATTAATTTGTTTTTGTTTAAACAGGTGTCTAGACAATTTTGTCATAACAACATGGAGGTAAAGTAGCTGAAAAAATATAGACTGACAGAAAACATGAGCAGTTCAATAGTATGGTATATGCTCTGAAAATGTAGTATGTTTTAATGTCTTTTATGTAACAGGAGCTAGCTTATTAGAGAAACTTTTTAATCTGCAGTCAGTCCATTAGTATTTTGAGTGTTTCATATGTGATAATTAAAGGGAAAATGCTGAAGTACAAACATTATTCTGTTTGTATATATTTTCTGCTAGTGTATATTCAAGAGATTTGATACATAGAACTTTAATTCAGAAAGAATGCTACCTACATGGTTATTTTTTGTTATAAACATGGCAAAAATCTCACAAGTAGTAATATGTTTTTGATTCGAGTGTGTCATGGTTTAATCCCAGCCAGCAACTAAGTACCACTCGCTCACTGCCCCACCAGTGGGACTGAGAAGAGATTGGAAGAGTAAAAGTGAAAAAACATTCCTGGGTTGAGATAAAGACAGTTGAATATGGAATGCCAAAGCACAAAACTGGAGCACAACAAGAAATTAATTCACTGCTTCCCATGGGCAGGCAGGTGTTCAGCCATCTCCAGGAGAGCAGGGCCCCATCACATGTGACAGTTACTTGGGAAGACAAACACCATCACTGCAAACATCCCCCCCCCTCTTCCTTCTTCTACCTTTTTTATATGCTGAATGTGATGTCATACAGTTGGAATATCCCTTTGGTCAGGTGGGGTCAGCTGTCCCATCTGTGTCCACTCCCAATTTCCCATGCACCCCCAGCCTCCTCATTGGTGTGGTGATACAAGAAGCAGAAAGGGCCTTGGCTCCATGTAAGTGCTGCTTAGCAGTAACAAAAACATCTCTGCATTATCGTCAGTGTTCAGCATAAATCCGAAACATAGTTCCATACTAGCCACTGGGAAGACAATTAACTCTGCCTCAGCCAAAACCAGCACAGGATGCAGGAAATAACAATTTTCTCTCTTTTTGGAAGAATTAAAAAATAAACCTGTTAAAAATCCATTATTTTAAAAATATTTAACGTATGTAAACCTGAGATATATTCTAATGATTGTTTAAAAAAACCCCCAGAAATGTAACTAGAGGGAAAACCGATTTTGAATAAATTTGTACATAACCTGCACCCCTTCAAACAAATAATATAGTTCCTTGCAGGGCAGGACTCCGAATTGGCTGGAGTTCAATGTGAATCTGCCAAGATCACAATTTTGTGTGTTTCCCTGTAAAGCCAAATAGTTTCTCAACTTGAAAAAAAAAATTGCATTTAAATAAAAACTCAAATGGCTAAGTGGTTTTTGGTCCTTTTTAAATAAGGGACTAAAAATGTGTTATTTTTTAGAATGTGTGCCCAAATAGGTATTTTTGCATGTCTTAAGATGTAACTGTAAACATGGAACTAGATATAGATTGTTTTTCTCTCTACTGCATTGTAAATGTGAAGTGCAAACATACTTGAGTTGCTGTAGCCTTTTTAGGTCTGGATACTTACAATTTCACTGCTTGCTTTACCATTATTTTAAAAACAAAGTTCATTCATACAGTTCTGTCTAGCTGCAGGAGTGCTAATGGAAGATTGGCATGGCTTTGTCTGTTTCTCGGGGTCTTTCTCCTTTTCTTCTCTGCTTTCCTTTATCTTTTTGCTTTCTTTCTGCCTTCATTTTGTCTTAAATACCGAGTGCTCAATGTGCTGGAATGTACTTCTGTTTGCTAACCCTTTTTTGCTCTCTGTCTCTCTTTTTTACCTAACTTTCTCCCCACTTCTGTTTTGTTGAGAAGATTTTCAAGCTGTTCTGGAATACTTTAATATATTCCTCTGAGCAGCTTTTATTTCTGCATTGCTTGCTTCTGGGGCCCTGACTGAGGTTTCCTTTAGCAAGATACATTCCAGCTTCTTCAATAACTGTGTAAGTAATCTTCCCAAAATAGGTCACTTTTGGAAGAATAATTGAAACATAGTCTTATCATTTAGGAATTAACCAGTTAAATGATGTGAATCCTCTCTTGAAAAGCGAAAGTTGGCCTTTCAAAAACGTAAATCTTGGGTTTTGAGAAATAGCTTTCTAGAGCAGGACTGTTACACTGCTGTTGCAAGATGAGTTGTGTCCAGTAGAGATGCTAGATATGGTCACCTTAGTTTTGTTGGCACTGAAGGAATATAACTTAAACATTGAAAGTGTTAATTATTGAGGGAGAGAAAAAAGAATGGTGTCTTGGCCTTCTGACGCTGCTGCTGTTTCTACTGATCCCAACCTCCATTGTGTGGAGCCCTAAATGGTCGTAAATGTACTTAGCTTTTTCAGCTGCTCTTGTTCTAGGGAACAAAGTCCCAGTGCTCATACTCATCTACCATACAAGAATATTAGAACTTCTGACTGAAAAACATCCATTTGCCCATTTTCAACCATCCAGAATCAAATGTCAGACTTTCAATTTCAGTGATCTGTAGCATCATGTTATAGGGTGGAACCACTGAATTTGGCTTCTTTCTTTAAAGAAAAAACTAAGTAAAACTACTTGACAGTGTATTTTTTATATGTAAAAATGATAGAATTTGAAAAACTCTAATGAAAATTAAGCTTGAATATGCAGTCATGTTTGCATTTCTTCCTAATTTGAAGCATCATGTCAAGAAGTTTCTGAAGTTATATTGGATAGGAATTAAAATAATGCTGTTCTCATTCAATAGATCATTCAAGAGACTTCTATATTGATTACTATTTGCTTTGATATTCTGTTTTGGAGCAGAAGACAAGACCAGAAAATCTGCCATCCCCAACAGATGGATACAAACTGAAGCATTGTCAGTGTGAACCAGATATGAAGGAAGAATATGAGCAATATCCTCAGAAAATTGCAGAAAAGAGGAAGGACCACCTCCAGTGTTCAGATGCTTCAATAAAGGTAGCTGGCAAAGTAGTAATTGCATTTTTAAACAGCAAATGCACATTAGTATTTAATTACACTTTTGGAGAAGTTTGCATGTGTGTGTAATTAACGTCTTCCATGTTTTTACTGTAAAGAAATCGAAACATGTAATTTCAGTATTTAATGTTGAAGAGGAAATAAAACATAGGAAGCTTGTTTCAGTTGTTCCAGAGCAAGAAACTGAGGTGCTCTGACAATTTAACTATATTTGTATTCTCTGGTAAAAAAAGTAACACATTGCCTTCGTAGTGCACCTCTAGCCTGAGCATGAGGATTAGCATGACTGTAAAGAAGAATTTACAGCCTAAGAAGATGAGAGACAGCGGGAAGATCTTGGTAAAATTAATTCAAGCTTTTTTTATTTTTTAAATATAGGAGTATTATAATTATTATTCTATTAAATTGTGACTGTATATAGGACTTAAAAAAGGAGAAATGAAAGATGTAGTCTGTCCCTGAGGGAACTATTAACACTGAAAATGGAAAGGAATATGGGGTTAAAATAATGAAAGATATTATCTATACTTTTTGCTTTGATGTTGTATAAGATGTGCTACAGTTGGACCGCAAGCTGTATTAATTCTGCCAGGTTTGTTCTGTGTTTTTAAATTAAAATGAAGATGCAAAGAAGGGAAGATCAGTGGAGAGAAACTGGAAAACAAAGGGGTGAAAAAAACCAACTTTCCTCTTGTTCGGGAAGATATAGCAGAGAAGGGTGGTTGAACAGGGAAAGATACATCACTGTAGGTGTAAGGAAGCAGGAAACATAAATAAGCAACAGCTATGAGGACTGACCAAATGCTAAACTATGCTGTGAGGGTAGATGACCATTAATGGGAAGTTAAGTATGGAGATGTTCAGGGAACATACTGTGCTCATTGCTTTTCAGAGAAAAGGTTTGTGGTGAATAACAATGAGTTTGCTGATTTTATTTGCTTAACGTTCAGTGGAATGAAAAGGGAAGGTCTTACATAGGACAAAGATTATGTTTCATATATTGTTGTTATCATTTTACACATATTGTTGATAGCTTTAAAAGACCTTTGTCCTCTCAGTCACGCTTCTAGTGTTCAGAAAAAATTGGAGAACCTGCAAAACCCTGTAAATATTCCATGAATAAGAAGTGAATGAAAGAAGGATCTGTTATTTTGTGGTTTAGTTTTATGTTTGGTGGCAGATGAGAGCAACCGAGTTAATCTGAAAATGAAGAAATGGATGGCAAGTGTATACTGGGAGAGAAAAAGCAGGACTGGCCTTTTCTGGTGATTTTAGATTCCTGAAAGATTCTTGCTAAGCCCTAAAAGTATGTGTGCCAGTTCTTATCACAGATTTTAATATAATGTCTATCAGAACAATTTTTTTGTGTTAGACATTATCACTACCTGGTTAGATTAATGAATCAAAACCTCTTTAGATTTCAATACACTTATTTTAATTGATTAGTGGAAGTTGTAATAATTTTTCTTTTCTGGAAAGAAACTGCTTGTTGAGGAGCACTGCTAACAAACCTACTCTTTCGATTTCTTTCCCTTGTTACCTCCTTCCTGACTTCTGTAAACAGTCTCCTTTGTCCATTTTCTTCCTGTCCTTCCTGTAGGAGATATTTCTATAATACCCTGGGACTGATTTACAAGTCTCTTAGAACCATTCAACAGCATGCTTTGGCTTTTCCCTGTGTAGACTATATTTAACTTCTTTGCTGGTCACAAAGCAGCCTCACTGCAGTGGTGAACTTTGAACTATATGCCTAACAGCAAATCCACTGCTTTCTCTTGGCTGTTCTTGAACAGAACAGAAAAAGGATGAGCTCTTGTCTTCTCAGAGGTACTACAATCTGCTTTCTCTGACTTGTTGCTGTTTTTTCATAAAGCTTGTAGGAATACACTCCTTTTGAGCTTTTTTTTTAATTTATTTCAGTGTAAATGAAAACTGGTAAGTATTCAAAAGAGATAAGGAAAGATTAGAGAGCAAGATTTATAAGTTCAGTTTCCGTTGAAAGCTAGGCTTAAAAAATTCTTTTTTAATTAGCATGAAGTAGAAGTAGTAGAGACTTTAAAGAAGAAAGAGAAGGACTTTTAAATGAATTGTTGAGGAAAAGGTGTGGGGGGTTTTTTGTTTGTTTTTCTTGTAATTTGTTAAATTTGATTTATGAAAATATTGTATTTTTTGTGTAGAGTAAACAGCTTGAAGATGGACATAATGATGATCTTGTAGCTCTTGATGAGAAAGCTCTCCTGCAGCAATGCTACACAAACAAGCCCTATAATATGCAGCACAGTATAAAGAAATTGGAAGCTGTAAGTATTTTGACTGGTATTATGCTGTTAACAATCTGGATATGGAGAATGACTTCCCAGATATTCAACAGAAGTTATGCCTTTGGTGATTTGGTTCTAATATGTAATTGCACCCACTGAAATTATTTCTTTCAATGAGAGCTGAACTGAGCAACCCAGGGAACATTTTTTAAATCTTATCTGCAATGCTTTTGTTTTATGCAGTAATGTATATAACTGAGAATGAAAATTATTAATAATAAATACAGATATGTTCATACAACTAAGAATAACTGAGTGATTTGACTGAACCTGAACATATTGTTACATTCAGTGCCAGGAGCTGGACTTTGATGATCCTTGTGGGTCTCTTCCAGCTCAGGATATTCTATGATTTCCTCTGATCTGTAGCTTTTAGCTGAGCCTGTGTTCCATGATCCATGGATTCCATGATTCCATCAGCTCTACTGCTAATATTAGATTAAGTCAGCAATGACTTTGACCAAGTCTTCAAGCTCCAGGGATGGAGCTTCTACAGCATCTCTAGCCAACGTCTTCATGTCATACACTGCTCTCCTTGAGAAGTTCTTCCTATTGCCTGTACCAAGCCTCCCAAGGCTCAGTGTTTTAACCTTCACTTCCTGTTATACTGCTGGCTACTGTCAAAGAAAGTTTGGTTATGTCTTCTTTGTAACTTCTCTTTTGTCGCAGGATGTTTTCGGAATGCCTCATAGCTGCTGTTTTTGCAAACTAAACAAACCCAAGCTCCGTTAGACTCTCCTTTCAATTGCTTTGGCTCTGATCCTCTGTCAGATCCTTTCCAGGTTTCTCTCATCCCTGTTGATCTTGGGAAGGGGGGAGCTCTGAAAAATGGAACAAGTATGGCCTCACTAGCATGCATAGAAGGGAATTAAAACTTTTCTTGTATGGATGTACCCAATATGTTTCTTTAATTCCTTACATACATAGACATACATTCTACTAGACATACATTCTACTCTTTTTAGGACTGAGCCATTAGGATTTCTTGCCCATCTAAGGTTAGCTCTTGAATTTAGGATCATTTACAATGATGAAGAACCTTGATTTGTTCTTGCATGATTCAGTATTTCCATATGCAAAGTGGTAGCTTTCATAGCTGTTTTTTGAAAGTATTGTTGGGCAGAGTTATACATTCTGACTTTCTCATGGAATATTAATCCATGAGAAATTTTATGATGTTTTAAAGTAAATAATAATTTTAATTTATTTTGTTTGCTCATGACTATGCATTGAAATTTGCATCATTGCAAGCCTTTGTTTGATTCACTTGTCAAAGTGAATGCAGATGTTTCACTACTGGGGTCACTATTCATTTTCATGATAAGAAAATCTTTTGAAAAAGTACTTTTATGAAGAACTTGAAGAAGCTCTTATTTTTAAAATAAATTTGAAAATCTATACTATAGGCTGAAGATAATGGAAAAAAGTCTTGAATTTCACTAGAGTAACTACTTAGTATCAAATCAAATAAGATGAAAATACTGAGAAAGGGAGCAGTGCAGGACCACAAAATAGCAGGTGCTCTGCAGCTGGTATGCTCTAAAAGGAAGTCAGGAGGTGTCTGAACAAGGTGTTAATGGGACCTTCAGAAGCCCTTTTGTTATTGATTAGCACTCATGGTTACATAGGTTGACTCACTTTTTCTAGGAGCATCTCTTAGGTTCTCCCAGGTTCATGCTTCTGATAGCGGTAAGAATGATGGAAAAAATCAGCAAAAGTGACTGCATGCATATTAATTCCGTTGTGTAAATGTTGCTTCAGTTGCTGCCATTTGATTTTAAAGTGCTTTAAAATTTTGCTTAAAAATGCACAATGTTTACATGTCCTTTTACTGTAATCATTGCCAAAAAGTCAAATGTTAAAGTAGAATTTCTCCTAATTTTTCTATAGTTTGAGATGAAAGTTTATAGTACATGTGTAATTGCCAATAGATGGCAATTACTTTTGAAAATAAGTAATTCAATAACCTTTGAAAAAGGATAGTTTTCTCTGAATTGTCATATTTAGGGAACAACAGTTACTACTTTCTAAACAGTGAGAGCTGCTGCAAGTTCGGTGTTTGCCTTCTACATTTTTGTAAATTCATAGTAGAACTTTTGTCTAAGAGCTGAATGGAGGATGTTCCATGGAAACGTATATTTAGTGACCTAGTATTCATTGAAATTCAAGGTGTAAGCTTTCTTTTTTTTTTTTTCTTTTTTTTTAAATCACATTCTTTTCAGCATGCTAACTGGTTTGGGCCTATAAGCCAAGGTCCATGGAATATGTTCTGTTTTAACAAACACTGCTCTTTTTTATCCCTATATCCTCCTTTATATCATGCCTTTTAATACATCTGTTGTAACAGTTAATGGGCAGAATCAATAACTCAGAATAAAGCACCCTGTAGTTCTGATAGCTACAAAAATGAAATACGAAAACAAACTAAAAAGCCCCTTATCACCTATAATTCAGAAATCTTTTAAGGCCTAAAATCAGTTTGGGATAACCAACAGCTGGTCTGGTGTTACGTTAGTTATTTGGGCTTTTTAGATTTGGCTTTTTTTTGACTGGTACCAAGCAGTATTTATTTTGAATGATGTGAATTTTACCCATAATATCTCTGTGGAATTGGGAATTATCTGCTGTGGTTACCTCGTGTCTGGGAGCCACCTTTCAGTTCTTCATCTGTGGAAAGACTTGATCTCTCTAGAATTTGGTTTGCACACAAAAATTGTGCAGAAAAAATTACCAGTTGGAAAAAAAATCTTAATTCTTTAGTTTCAGAATACCTAAAAAAAATATCAGAAAGGTTGCATAAACCCCCTAAGTAACAATAATGCCTGTTTTCTTATATATAAAAGTTGTCCTTTGGAAAAATAAGGCAAATTTAAGTTCAGTGAAAAAGTTTAGAAATCTGGAAGATAAAACAAAGAGAGGTGCTGAGGTCTGGTTGTTGCTGGTGGCCTCTATACTGTTCTGGGGCATCCTCTTGTGCTTCGGTTTCTTTCTGTGTAAGGGGTGTTGATCAACATCTGCACACTTTACAGTGAGCGGCACAAGGTTATGATTCAGTGTTACTTTAATAAAAATAATAAGTTCATGTTAAATCCCCTTCCCCCTTAGGATGATATTTCCTGAAAGACCTTTCAGATTGGCCTGTCTCAGCAGAAAATTATTGTGGCATGCAGGAGATAAAAATCTTGCACTGAGACTAAGTCTTAAAAGAATTTTTTTGACTAAATATTGCTGGAGGTAAAGTTTCATTCTCAGAGTTGGAATCTGTGTCAACCATGAAATCTGGAATAGTGTGATTTTCCTCAGGCTCTATTGTACTTACATAATGTCTCAGAAACAATACAGAAATAAGGATGCTGTCGGTCAGTTGAAATAATAGAATTCTCATATTTATTGACAACTAATATGCATAGACAAATTTAGTGTGTAGCAGAGAATATTAATGCATATTTGTTATGCTAATAGAACTCTATTTAAAAAAGATGGAAAAAATATTAATTGTGACATTGGTAAGATTGTGACCTCTGATGGTTAAAGAGTAATTTATTATTTTAAGTGTCTGATGTTATATATTTCATTTGCACTCAGTCAGTTTTTCATCGCAGGAGGATGTTGCTGCAGAGAGGAGAAAACAGGCTGTAGTAGAACAAGTGATGGTGGATCAGTTATGTAGGTAAGTGAATTTATGATGTAAAATTGCATTTTTCCCTATACAAGAATTTAGATCTGCGTGTGGCTTTTCTTGCTTAAAAGGTGTTTTGGTCATCTTGTTCCAAGTCTTATGCAGTCATACGTAGTAGTATTGCTTGCAAAAATTCTTTAAATTAAAAGTCTTTTTAATGTAACTTAAGAGATCACTATAAAGTGCTATGTGTATGTTAATCTTTTTTCTGAGAATAATTTTTAATTTTATACTTGAACCTATTTTAAGGGATTTACAATAGCAGTAGCTCACAGAAATAACCCTCCAGTACCGCAACAAAATATATGGATGCCTGATGTTACAAATTACACTTTTTCAGTATTTATTGTCTTTTCTTAGAATCTTGGCTTTATTAATACTCCTTTAATAATACTGACACAACATCTTTCAGGCATAAAGGAGTATTATACCAGTGTTGGGCAGGTAGGAAAAAAAGACACAATGATAAATCAAGTTGATCAAAATTGTACAGTAAGACTCTCCTAAATTCATTGCTATCCCTTTAGCTACAAGAAACCATTGCTTCTGTATGGAAAGATCCCCCTATTTTAAGCATAGTTTAATAATTCAGGGCTTTATACAAGCTGTCTAGTTAAGACAATATAGGAAGATGCAAGCTAGTTTAATATAGTTTCATTTTAGTTTATTCTTGCTAAGAATTATCTGTGGGTACGTCTACAGTATGTTGCATTCTATGCCTATTTTACGGTCTCTGTAGTCATCTGCACTGGTATTTTAGGCCATCAGATCTTAAGTCTTTGAGGTTGAAATGTTGTCGTGCTCACCATTTTATTTTTTCTTTGTTTTTGTTACGATGGCTGTTAAATTATCTGTATTGTTTAAAAGTCTGTTAATGCTTTTATGCTACTTAAAAGCTGAGATAAAGGAAGGTTACCTGAGGGAAACAAGATTGTCATGAAACATAATGATAAATTACAAGTGTCATTGTAGCAGGATTAAAATTAGGCAACTATTCAGTGTAGAAGTCCCCAGTTTTTAAATAAATGCTTGGCCTGTGTCATACCTCTTTAAAGATTGTTACAGAGATGATCTTAAAAATACACTGGTTATGTTGAAGTGTTTCAGTACGACTATGTAGCATTAAACGTACAGCTTTGTGTATCTTAGATCAAGAATGCTCATTCTGTGTTTAACCTACTTCAACTGCTTTGCTTTATTTTTCCCATGTATTCTTTCTATTCTGAACCCTTCTACTGAAAATGTCAAACCAATATTCAGTAGTGCTACAGTTGCATCAGGATGAAGTTTTAATTTAAAAAATCTCTCTGTTTATGTTACAAGTATACCTGTACCAGTACTGCCAAACAAATTGGTATCAGATAATTGGAGAAGAGTAGTTCAAAACTGTTGAATGAAAAAAATACTATTAAAGGAAACACAGAGGTGTTTTGAATATTTTTTTTTTAGTAGAGCCAATTTTGCACTTAAATCAGTGTAACTGATGTGTGCAAAGATGGATCTGTATAGATCAGAGAGCAGGTTTAGAAAACCATAATAGCTGTGCAAAATTATTTTTTTCCTTCTGATAACCATTTAGATAACATAACAAGCATCTCATTTATTTTTAAAAGGTCTTTTGTTTACTTGCTGAACAGATAGAGAAAATATCAAAATCTTCAAAAAACAGTTAATCTATTTCTTTTCTACTTGATGGGACTTTGAGATGCTATCAGCTCTGTAGTCAGAGCTTGAGGAAGGAAAGGAAGTGCCAGTGTTTTTGTTGGATGACATATTGGATGGGGCTCCGAGCAGCCTTGTCTAGTGAAAGGTGTCCTTGCCCACAGCAGGGGAGTTGGAACTAAATGGTCCTTAAGGTCCCTTCCAACCCAAGCCATTCTATGATTCTTTGATGATGCCACTGACCACTGGAGACTGCTGTCACTGATCTTGGTGGGAGCCATGTATGAAGAATATCACTGGTGGAATATTTACCGACACAGTGGAAATCATGAAAAAACCCACAAACCTTCATAATACTAAGATTTATTTTATATCAAAATATATAAAATATACTTTAAATAATACATATATACATGTAAAGTTACTAGATAGTAAGGCACTGCCAGAATATATTTGATTTTAAGTAATAAACTTAAGAATTCATAAAAACAAACAAAAAATGAAGTCCAGAAATTTATGCAAGTTTAATGGATAACTCCAAGATTTTGTTGCTGTGTTATTCATCGGTGTTTTCTTTCCTGAGTAAAAATATGTAAGACCTGAAACTGAAACATACTAATAGTCAGAGGGCTTCTCCCTGCTTTTTGTGGTCAGAGCTGTTATAAGCGACCCTGAGCAGTCTATGCGTTCTGATGTTTGCAAGGAAGCTCAAGGACTTCTGGGACTTGGGACAGCACCAGTGCGTTTTAGAAAAAGAATACTGCATGAAACGAAGTAAGTTTATAGAAATACATTTTCTACTGGTTTTGGGTTTTTTTTTTTCTCTGTGAAGTTTGTTTGCCTTTCCAGATGTTTTATTTCTGGCTAGGATCCACCAACTTCATGTGAGGCCTTTTTTATAGCCTTCTTGTGCTTATTATTGCCTAGTGGGACCTTTTTATGTGGATTCTTTGTGTATAATATTGATTCATAGAATTTATAAAACCTGGGAGAACATTTTTAAGCTTATATTGGTATTATTCATCACAAGGTTTTGCCAGCCTTTTCCAAGCAAGTTCGATGCTTGGAATCCTGTCATATTCTGAGGTGCATAAATTGCATAAATATGCATCTGTAAATGCTAATGTAGATTGTCACAATATAGTCTTACTTTTCTGTCATGTTTTGATTTCTGCTGCAATAATTAACCCTAATTGGCATTTAAATTACATTCCTGGACTGTGAGCATTGAAACAGTAGCTGCAAGGACTTAAGAAAAAATGAAAAAACACTGTGATCTGTAAAATGCAATGAATCTGCAGGTCTGGATTTTGTTCTGTTAATTTTTTTCAACATTCAGGCAAGCATCTCTGCTTTGTGCATTTTAACATCATACTCTAAAGTCTTTCTCATCAAATGCCATCTTTGTAATCTTAAACAAAGAAGAAAGACAACAAAACCAATCTCTCAATCTCTTACACCCATCACATGGACAAATCTTCATTTCTGGAACTAGTAATAGGGCCAATATAAAACATTTAGGTGGGTGAAGAAGCCTCAGTCTGGATATTTTTGCAAGACAACATTGATTCATGGAAGTATGGTGAGTGGCAGAGGTTTAATTCTTATAAAAGTGTGTGTAAACAGAATATCCCATTCATATTTATGCCTTCTGTGAATGTACTCTCATATTATATAATAACAGAACATATTACAACTCTGAGTTGCTTTCTAATTCAACTACAAGGAATCGTCTCCTCGACCAGTTGCTAAGGATACCGTATTTCATGGTTTTTGCTGTTTTGAAATGGTTGATTTTTATGTAACATTTGTCTGTGAGCCTATAGGTATTGTTAACATGGTGCATTATTTTCACAGAATAAGGACCAAATCAGGATTAACTGAAAACATGCTCTCTAACAAGCTACGCTTTGATAGTAGGATTATATCGAGGTAATCACAAATTTTGTGAAGCTTTTCAATTCTGTGAATTTATAAATGATGATATTTACTCTCTTGAACTAATTACTTGCACTGAATGTTTCTGTTTCCTATACTGAGGAAAAAAGTACGTGCTGTGTGGTTGCAGATATATGCATACGTGTATAATACAAATTTTGACATAGCTGATGAATAGTGGCTTTACAGTCCCACTGTAGTGTTGAGATCTATAAGTCATGTTATGTTACCATCATGCCTGTAGCTCTGTTGAGGACAGTAAGCACAGGGACCGTTTAAAATAGTGCTTTTAGCTAAAGCATCCCAGTTGATTAAAGCTTATTTTTGTAAATGTCACAATTGTAGATGTGGTTTTGCAACTCATTTGTAGCTCTTTATGTATTAAACTTTAGGACATCTTTGAAAGTGTTCTGATTCGAGTAGCTGTGGCATAAACATATTTTTCAGCTTTGAAAGTGATGCTTTTCTGAAGCTCTGAGCTGTATACTCACTAGACATAGCTGAGGATTCATCTACAAAGCTTCATATACTACAATGAATGGTGTACATAATCCTTTAGTTAATGAGTGAAAATTATATTGTATACTAAAACATGAAGCCTTGAAAAGTGTTTTTAACATTATAGAAATGGAATAGTGCATTAAAATATGTGATTGAATCCACAAGTTGAATTCCATAGTGAGTTAGAGAAAATAGTTAAATACCTCTTAAAAAAAATTGTGCAATACTCAACATTGGAAATAAAATGGGTATTGAGAGCAACCTTGAGGAGAAGAACTTGGAGGTGCTGGTGGATGAGAAGCTACAGAACTCGTCAGTGTGTGCTTGCAGCTCAGAAAGGCAACCATGTCCTGGGTTGCATCAAAAGCAGTGTGGCCAGCAAGTCAAGGGAGATGATTCTCCCCCTCTACTCCTCTTTCGTGAGACCCCACCTGGAGTACTGCATGGAGCTCTGGGGTTCCCACCACAGGAAGGATGTGTACCTATTGGAGCAAGTCCAGAGGAAGGTCATGAAGATGAGCAGAGGGCTGGAGCACCTCTACTGTCAGAACAGGTTGAGAGAGTTGGGATTGTTCAGTCTGGAGAAGGAAAGGCACCAGGGAGACGTTATTGCAGCCTTCCAGTGCCTAAAGGAAGGCTGCAAGAAAGCTGGAGAGGGCCTTTTTAGAAGTGCATGTATTGGTAGGACAAAGGGAAATAAATGGCTTTAAACTAAAAGATGCCAGGTTTAGATTAGATATTAGGAAGAAATTCTTTACTGTGAGAGTGGTGAGACACTGGAACAGATTGCCCAGAGAAGTGATGAATGCTTGATCCCTGAAAGTGTCCAAGGCCAGGTTGGATGGGGCTCTGAGCAACCTGCTGTAGTGGAAGGTGTCCCTGCCCAAGGCAGGAGGATTGGAAGTAGATGATCTTTAAGGTCCCATCCAACCCAAACCATTCTGATTCCAAAATAAGTGTTATTTATGTTTAGGGTGAATTGGACTTATATAGACGAAAAACATAAAGGTGCTTTTTAATTTCCCTTCTAGAAATGGCCGCGATGCTTGTAGAGAGTTGATTGGATTTTTTTTTGCATATGACAGATCCCTCACTGTGTATGAATTTCGACAGTTTGGAAGAAACAGGTAGGATAAATTACTTTTTAAAAAGGTTTTAGGAAACATCTTTCACTGTATCTAAGAAACCTAAATATATTTAATTGTTTGAATACCAGTTTTGAATTATTTCACAGAACAAACGCCTTGCCTTTCATTCGGAAGGGAGTTTATCAACATCAGTGTGGGCAAAGGAAGGGAAAAGCGTATGATCTTGGTGACCTCTATGTTGTAAGTATTCTGCTGAATGTAAGGCAATTTTGTTGGTGACTTGGAAGTAATATTTAGGTATTCGAATTGAAAATTGTTATCTAACCTTCTGGGAAGACCAAAAGTCTTTCCCTTCAATACCATTTTTGAATTAAAGACTTCTAGGAGTCTGGATTATTTTGCTGTCCCGTGTTTTATTGATTCCAATTTAGGCTTCAGATTAAGGTGTAGTTTGTGATTTTCCCCCTAGAGGGCACAAGACTGCAGGGAGTGTGGACCTTTGTGGGCAAAATTATCTGCTTGGGAAGGAGAGTCCTGAAGAGAAAGTAGACCAAAGTATTTGTTAAATAATCTTTGCAAGGTCTGCTGGCATTTTTAACTCAAGGCAATGATTAATTATTTTTTATACATGAAGAAGTTGCAGGTTAATTGTTTTTAACCTACAGTTTCAAATGTACACTGCCAGCTGTTTAGAGCAAGCATCTTAAACAATGGTAAACTCCATCTGCCAGCTGATCTGATGACTGACTACAAATCATGTTGCGTCTTCTGTACTGCTGTACTTCTGTACTGAGTTAAATGTTTGTGGTTTATAAATACTTGAGCCAGTTTTCAAGTACAGACTGTTTTCACTGAGTTCTTCACATCCTCCTGCAAATTTGAAGTTCAGAGCAAAAACCATGCTTATATAAAGTATTTGAAGTAAAAGAAGATGACATTAGTTTTTAGTATGCTTTGTCTCATCATATGACTTATCCTTACTGCTTGCATGTAGTGACAGTCTAAGAATTTCCAAAATGAAATAGACAAATTTGTGATATAGAGATTGAAGCTACTTGTTAGAGATTTTCTTTTTTTTATTGTCATTTGTATTTTTGTAATCTGCAGATGGAAATGGGTTCTGAATAAAGATGTATCATTGAAATGATTTTATATCTGTGAATCTCCATATCTACAATCTTGCTTTCTGAGCTGATATTAAAGATATACAGACCTTTCACAAAGTCCAAATAGTTTAAACACTTGCACAATAACAGTGTCTCTGTCTCCTCCTCCTGAATTCTTGAGTTCTGAAATTATTACAGTTATTACAGTTAAAACTACTGCTATTTTTTTAATTATTCTCAGCATTCTTTGCATTTAGTTCGCTGCTTTTGTTTCTCTCCCCTCCCCTCTTCCAAACCAAAAACCATCTTTAACTTTGAAGAATATGTCAGGTGTGTCCTCTGTCCCCAACTTGGAAGGAAGGGGAATTAGTAATACTCAGAGGAGACTATATAGGATAGTAGAACTCTATGCTACTAATAACATATTTTTATTCCATATTTCGTAAAGAAATCTAGAATTTTTAAAGCATAACTTTATTGTTAAACAATAAAATAACTGAAGAGTTTCTCCTAGTCTGAGAGAACTTTGCTCTCATGGAATCAGTGTTGCACCTTCTGTGATTCTCTTCTCTGGTCCAATGAGTTTTGGATCTTATAAGGCTGAAGGGAGAAGAAAAATTGAAAAGCAGAGCCTGTCTGAGGGAACAACAATCTGTAGCCTCAAATTTTTCAGCTGTAGGTTAGGCAACAGTATGCTCTCTTACTAGACAAACCTGCATGTAGAGGATAATGCATCATCTTGGAACCTGAAGCTCAGCTGTTTTTATTTAGTATTAGAAGGACTCTGTTTAGAAGGTTAACTCACCTCAGCTACACTTTGTCATCATTTCATAAATGCTTATAACAAATGCTTGAAAGTATTAGATGATGTACTTTACGAAATTCACAGAATCACAGAATATGCTGAGTTGGAAGGGACCCACGAGGATAAAGTCCAAATCCTGGCCCTGCGCAGGACCTTCCCCAAGAGTCACACCATGTAGCTGAGAGTATCATCCAAATGCTTCTTGAACTCTCTCAGGCTTGGTGCTGTGACCACTTCCCCAGGGAACCTGTTCCAGCACCCAACCACCCTCTGGGTGAAGAACCTCTTTCTAATATTCAACCTAAACCTCCCTTGACACAATTTCAGGCCATTCCCTTGGGTCCTGTCACTGGTCACCACAGAGAAGAGATCAGGGCCTGTCTTTCCTCTTCCCCTCATGAGGAAGCTGTAGACTGCAATGAGGTCTCCCCTCAGTCTCCTCCAGGCTGAACAAAGTGACCTCAGTCATTCCTCATATGGCTTTCCCTCAAGCCCCTTCACCGTCTTCATTACCCTTCTTTGGACACTCTCTAATACCTTAATATCTTTCTTACATTGAGGTGCCCAAAACTGCACACAATATTCAAGGTGAGGCTGCACCAGTGCAGAGCAGAGAGGGACGATCCCCTCCCTCAACTGGCTGACGATGCTTTGCCTGATGCCCCCCAGAACACGGTTTGGCCCTCCTGGCTGCCAGAGCACTGCTGTCGACCAGGACCCTCAGGTTCCTTTCCATGGCACTGCTTTCCAGCATCTCATTCCCTGGTCTGTACGAACATTCGAGGTTGCCTCTTCCCAGGTGCAGAATCCAGCACTTTCCCTTGTTGAACTTCATGCAGTTGGTGATTACCCAGTCCTCTGATTTGTTGAGGTCTATCTGCAGGGCCTCCCTGCCTTCAAGGGAGTCAACAGCTCCTCCCACTTTTGTGTTATCTGCAAACTTGCTTAATATCCCTTCCAGTCAAGTGTGTCCAAGTAATTTATGAAGATGTTGAAGTGCACAGGACCTATGACCTATTTTTAAATCACTGTATGCTTTACCAACAGGGAGCTAATCTGACTTTCCGAAGTGTTGATCATAACCTTCCAGAAAGCGTTAAGCAGAACCCTGTCTTCACCCTTCGTGTGATAAGTATTGATGAAGCAGCTATGGATTTTCTAAAGTAAGTCCTGGTAACTGTTTTTCAAATTACCTTCCATTCCTTAAGCAAAAAAGATTTTTTTTAATAAGAGCTTCTAATACCTTATTACTTACACTGCTAAAAACAGAATCTGTATTTAGACTATTTAAATTAGTAATAGATGTTAGTGGACTTTGCATAGTTCAGTAACTTTCTAGAATGATAAGGATAAAAGAATTAATTAAATTTTGAATCTGTCCTATTTGCTATGTTTGAAGTTACATGTTTTTAAATACTGATCATATACTGAAAATTTTCTTATGTGATGAACTAAAATAGTACATTTGGGCAAAAATGCTTTTTTTATGATCAACATTATTATTGAATCTTTTGTGACATGTATGTTAAAAATTTATATCAGTCATGATAATGTAAGTGTTTGAACACACACAGGAGAAGAATTGGAGGTTTATCTCTGGTTTTTCATTTTCTTTTTCATTCCTCTCCTAATTCTTCCAGGCATTGTTACATGTTGAAGACTGCAAGTTTTCTGCACTTATTCTTTCAAAATAGTTTTAACTAAATTATGTTGTCCCAGAGTCTGAAAGATGAGAATTTTTTTAGAATTTTTTCAAATGGTTAGGTAAATGGTTAATTTTGACTATGTGTCTCATACCAATACCTATACAGAAGTCATCTATCTAGAGAATGAAGTATCTTTCTCTGCAGTTTCTGGCCTTTATTGTGAGTATACTGCTTCTTAGTACAAATAACATCTTGGTATAAAATTTATCACACTGCTGTGCCTGCCTGATCATGGAAGTTATTTAACAGTGTTGGAAATACAGTTGGGGTTTGATTACTCAGATTTTGGTGAGGAGTGTCAGCTGATAGCAGATGTTACAGGGTAGAAATTTTCATAAAATCATGGAATCATAGAAAGGGGCCTCAAGAGGGTCTCTAGTCCATCCCTACTGTTCAGAGCATGGTTTACTGCAACAGATTGCTCAAGGCTGCATCCAGTTGGGTTTTTAAATACCTCCAAGGATGGAGACTTTGCAGCCTCTGTGGGCAGCCTATTGAGTGTTCAGTCACCCTCATGGTACAAAAGTGCTTCCTGATTGTTCAGAGGGAACCTCTTGTGTTTCAGTTTATGCCCATTGTCTCTTGTCCTGTCGTCAGGCACCACTGAGCAGAACCTGTCTCAGTCTTCTCTACTCCCTCCTGTCAGGTGTTTATGCACACTGATAAGATCCCTCAAGCCTTCTCTTCTCCAGGCTAAACAGTTCCATCTCTCCCAGCCTCTCTTCATATATCAAATGCTTTGATCCCTGCTTGATTAGGAAGAGCAATAACAAAATCTCAATTAAATATGTTCCGTATCTAAAGACTACTTTTGTTAGCACAACTACACTATTATGTAAGTGTTCAGACACATGAAGCTTATTCTCAGTTACGGTAATATTCATTTTAATGTCCCTTTATACTGAAAGCTTTGCAAAGGAGCCATAGTGAGCTAACAGTGCATAGAACAGTAAATTCAAATTCAATTGGTTATAGAAATATTTAGTTGTATGATGCTTAGTGCTAATTGTTCCCTCCATGAGGTAAAACACCACGTAGTTTAATTTAAGATAGTTTATGTAAGAAATTTACATCTCAGAAGCCTATCACTCAGGTAAACAGCTTTTTCTTTCATTTGTTGCTAATCTTATACTTGTGAAATTTAGAGTTGATCCAGTGTTATCTCTGAAGGTTCCAGAGGGACTGCTCACTGGGCTATAATTTTGGCTTTTTTTGCTACCTGTGGTGGAATAGCTTGGTCTTTTTTTTATGCTCTCTCTGTGTTTTTTCCATTAGTGACTAAATTTCAGACAGTGAAGTCTGTCTTTTTCTTCTGTATGCGGGTGTTATTGAACGCTCTTGTATTAGGTCTGGCTGAGCTGGAGTTCATTTCCCCATAGCAGCCCTCACAGTGCTGTGCTTTGCATTGGCAGCTAAGAAGGGTGTTGATAACACACCAGTGGTGTGGCTGCTGCTGAGCACAGCACCAGCACTGTAACATCCCTTCCTCAATCTAGAGCAAGATCCTGGGAGGGGACACAAGTAGGCCCAAACTGACCAAAGGGATATGACGTCATATCAGATATGATGTCATACCAGACCATATGACATCAGCTCAGATATAAAAGCTAAGGCAAGGAACAGGAAGGCAGGCATTCATTGTCTCCAATGAGAAATTTCTCGCCTGCTGAGAAACCCTCACGCGTACTGAAGCCCTGCTTCTCAGGAGTGGCCGACCATCGCTGCTCATGGGAAGTAGAAAATAAACACTGCTGTCTTTCGCTTCACTTTTGCACATGCAAGCTTTTGCCTAGCTTCTGCTTTAATAAACTGCCTTAACCATATGCACAAGTTGTTTTCCATCTTATTCTCTCCCCTGTCTGGTTGGAGAGGGAAGTGATAGAGCAGCTGGGTGGGCACTTGGTGTCCAGCCAAGGTCAACCCACCATAGTTCTATTCTCTGGTTCAAAACTCTTGAATTGACTCCTCTAACCTTCATAACTGTACTGAGAGAGAATCCTGCTCAGCTACAGTCCAAAAGATCTGTTGCAGGTTTCCAGGAGCACCTGTGTCCTGCTGTCACAAAGCATGAATCTTTTGATTTACACGTGTGTTTTAGAGAATACATTGTCCTCTGTCAGTGGTTGTTGACTTTCCAGTTTAGGTGATTTAATATAGGCAAGTCTGAATAGAGAGCAGAGAGGTAAGTCTTTGGCCCCAGAAAGCAGAAGGAGTATGCCATGGCAAAGCACTAGTGAGCAAGCAGCTCTGATTTCACAGTAGTGCTTTTCCATTTTCTTTTCTATTCTGATTAAAATAATTATAGGACTTTGTTGTTTGTGGGTTTTGTGGTTTTTTTTCTTCCAGTAGGTTCTTCCATAGTATGTTTTGATCAACCTTTATAATAATTTTTGATGAAGGCTTATTAGGAAACCCTTCTCAGAAGGGAGCCTGCCAAGAAAAAACCCACAAAATTTAACCAGAATTCCTAAATACGCTGATCCAGCTTTTGGTTTACACCCTTTATGTTTGTCTTCTAAAGAAAGATTTGTAACTACTTCATGTTATTATCCTGTTGGTGATTAAATGTAGTTGTTTTAACAAACTCTTCCAGTAGCATGAGCTGAAGATTAGGATTATCTTGAAATAAATTTCTGCAGATTTTGTGCACGGGAGGAATTATCCATAACTAATGAATTAGTAGAGGAACTGATAATGGAATATTGCGAGAAAGGAATTTCTGCATATCTGCATCTGTTCAGCAAGGACTGTTGTGGGTGCCCTCGCAAACTCAAGCAATTGAATACTGTATTTATAAGGGTGGTATATGAATTAAAGTTCAATTTTATTTTTTTTTAATACAACTGTTTTGAATATAGTAATATTATGTGTAATTTCACCAATCAACATTAATTTTGATTTCTTTAGAGCTTCTTCTGTGGAATTCAAGCAACAATGTTCCAAGCAAGCGGACAACAAAGTTTTCAAGAAGATTCAAGGTTTGTGTCTACCAGAACCCATTTTATTTTAATTTCTATATCTCTGTGTCTTTACAACTCAGGGCAATGAACAATAGTGATGTTATAAAGATTTTATTTGTATAAATGAAATTAAACAAAAGTTAAATATTTATCAGAATATTACTGGAATCTGATACTAGCACAAATTAGTCATAAGAATGTTTTCTGCTGTCTCTTTGAATAAACAGTCTGGGTAAAGATTGTGGAGAAGGTAGAGAATAATCGTGAATGTTTGCTGTCATTTGCTAAACCTGTTTTATGTAGGCACTCTTTGGTCACTAGAATGTGCTTGGACATTTACTTTCACAAAAAATTTTTGGAATAAAAATTAGGGTTATTTTTTAATCTTTTAGTTATTCCATTTTTTCTCCTTGCATAATAGACACAAATTGATTTCTCAATTATCTGACTACCTCAAAGGTTTCCTGGTGTGGCTTGGAAGAAGGTTACATGTGTATACTTTAAGGCACCTTTTAACATCCATCTGAGTATCATCTTCACTGGAAAAAACTTCTTTCTTTCACCTTATGTCACAGGTGGGAGTGGGAGCTTCAGACAAAGTTTGTTAGAGAAGCCCTCCCGTTAAGTCAGGAGGTGCAGAAGGGAACCCCTTGCCTTCTAAACTGCTTCTCAGAGAGGAGCCTGGGTGTGTCTGGATCCAATCTCAGCCCCAGACTTTGTCAATGGTTTTAAGTCTAAGGAATTACAGAGGTGTGACTGAACCTTTGTACAACTTTGTCCTGCAGGATTAAAGATGGCAAACCGGGTGTATTATTATAAAATGAATTATTTATTATGAGAAATGATTAGACAAAAGATCTTAATCAAAATTATTTGCTACACAGTGTAGAAAATAAAACTACTAGGATAGGATAGTGCACTATATCAAAGCGATTATATTAAAGCTAGCAAAATAGAAAGAAACTATTTTTGAGATTGATGTAACTCACTCATACAAATGACCATGGGCAGATCTCTTTCACTCAGCCTTGAGGGTAACCTTGAGGGGTGTCCCCATCCAAGGGAGGAATCTCCACACACACTCCAAGAAGGGTCATGTTAGAAGAACCTACTGTGTGCAAATGGACCGGACTTTTATAGTATAAAGTGATTGACTGCCAGTCATGTGTCTCCAGATCAGCTTAGCAGCTTATCTGCCAAGTCTTTGCCTTATTATCAGGATGTTAGTTTGGGGTTGATGTGTCAGATTGGTTTTAACATAATTCAACACCAAAAGCTGCAAGACATATCCTCTCTCAATCCACCACTGATAGCTTTGCAAATAGGGAATTGTTCAGGTTGCTTGTCCACATTCCAGAGCAGAGCATCCTGATACACCATACCCCTATTTTGCTTTATAATTGTAGATACAAGTAATTTGAAGGTAATAGCAGGTGACTTCTGTTAACAGAATATGCTGAGAAATGTGGGCATCCCTAAAGTAAACATCCTACCTGAAGATTTTGATAAGGCAGTTATTTTTACCCTAGAAATAGTTCTCTGCATATAATTCTGGAATGATTTTGCTTAATTACTCATATTCGTCCTTGTTTCCACATGGTTTTAACATGTTTGCACAATAAAGAAGCAACTCTGTTTCATAATGGAGTGTTTGTATTGTTCCAAAGTTGCTTTGTATGTTGAATCATGGTATGTAATCTGTTCTAGCAGAAGTAAACAGCTTTATAATCTGAGCATATAGAGGGCAATAGCCATTATTCCTTTCCTTCTGTGGTCTCTTTAAAAGTTTGTGCTGCTGCTTTATATGGTTTCCACTCAAGTGTTAAGTAACTGATAGTTTCATTTTGAACTGGTATTCTTTCATCAAAGATCAGGGAACCTGGATGCATAGATATGTCATTTTAGCCAGCACTATCATAAGTAGATGTGGTGTTCTTTATTTCTATATTACCTCCATAGCAAGGGGCCAATTTCAGGTAAACATTGTGTCCCTTATTTCTCTTAATCCTCAGGTATATTCAGAGGGACACTAAGTAAAAGAGGAGTTCGGGTTATAACGGGCTTAGGAAAGTATTTCCGACAAGTAGACAAGAGCAGAAATGGTTTTCTCTCTCAGGCAGCCTTTAAAGAAGCTCTACGAGTATTCCAATTGGAAATGCCTGAAGGGGTAAGTCTAGCTGAAACTGTAATCATGGGTATTATCTTTCTTAATTTATGGTATTGCTTTCTTTTCTTTGCTTAAATCTGTAGTTTAATAGCTGATTTTTGCACATTTTCTTTCGGTGTTGTTTTTGATTTGGTTTTTTTTTCCCCCTTGTGGTATATTGGCATTTGTACATTCAGTTTTGTGTGAAATTCTTAAAAATAAAAAAATAATATATTTAAAAGCATGCAATCTTCTTACATCATGACATGAAGAAGCAAGTGTGATTGCAGTCAATTTTTTCTCCTTTGGCTTTAAAAAATAGTTTATGCTATTTTCTTCTGTTTTTCCTTTGTTTTTATATGTTAGGTTTTGCAAATAGCCCGCAGCTATCAGAACTGCAAATAATGTGAATTATAGTCATCAGTGACTGATATGCATTATTTTTACAAATCTTTAAACGAGTTTGGATTTAGAAGTTTGGGGATTTTGTGGTGACAATTTTGTAATTTTCCATTAGAGTGAATGTTTTATTTTAGGACATACTGAAGAACTTTGGCAAAATATTTTTAAATTGCAGGACTTCGAATCTTTATGGCTTATTCTTGATGATAGCAAGAGTGATAAGGTCGACTATGGAGAATTTACTCGTGCCATATTTGGAGAAATGAATGAATATAGGAAAGCCTTTGTAAGAAAAGTAAGTTTTATTGCAGATATTCTAAATGCAAATATTTTGCAGTCTAACTTTGGAGTTAGTTACTTATCGTGTCCTGGTTGTTGAGTTCTGTTGTTTTTCTGAGTTGTGTATCTGGAAATTGACTTTTTAAAGTTTCAGATCAGTTTATCAAAACAAAAGTAAATTACAGGACTGCATGCTGTTCCATTGTTGAATTAGTTAATTTTAAACTCTAGAATTAATTTCTTTATTATTTTGATTTTATGTATGTGTGTGCTTTTCTTATAGTTCAGTCCAGTGTATAAAGCATCTGACACCCTGAAATGATCTCTTCCAGAAGTCTGTTTCCTTATTTTGGCAGATGATTATATCAGTGTAACTTTTTTCCCACATTGCCTGAAATAGGAGGCAATAATACTTGTCTCCTTTGAGACCTACAATTAGAGTCATTTATGAGACTTGTTGTATTTGAAGTACCACTCGTTATATGTCTGTAATGCAATGTGGAGCTGTTTGCAGTATCAAACACTGATTACAAACCAGCCAAGCAGTAGTGACTGGATATCAAGATCAAGAAAAATAACATATACTTTCATACTTTCAATCATGGAGAGATCTGACTCTTCTAGCCTTTTATATTGAGCATGTGTATTTGAGTAAACTGAAATGAAAATGAAGCTGCTGTTGGCAGTGCTGAAGAGGCTCTGTGAGATTGATGCAGGAATCTTAGTAATTGGAGGGGGCAGAAGGGAAGCAGCTTAACTTCTGATTCTAAGGATGAGCTAAAAATTATGGAGAGAAAAATTTTTTGACTTGATGAGGGGACTACATTTGATGTGAAAGCTGTTGAGATAAAATAATCGTGAAACTGCATAATCTAGAATAATTTTCTGGTATCTGTTGCCTTATATAAAATAGGTAAATTGACATAATCTACTGCACAAGATCTATTAGTGTAAGCCAAGTAGTTAAGTGTATTTGATCTTTTCATCTTTCCACTTTTTTTCCTTATATGCTCATGCTTTAACTCTTTTTTTCCTATAGGCTTATATGAAACTAGATTTCAACAAAACTGGGAGTGTGCCTATGGTGGATGTCAGGAAATGTTACTGTGCAAAGAAACATCCTCTAGTATTGGCAGGTAATTCACATGAACAAACAAGAGAAACCTGTAACTACTGAAGTCTACTACTACTACTAGCAGAAGTACCAGATACAGAAACTGGTTGGAAATACAGGCTGTTTTCATATTGGCTTAGACTTGAACTGTTAAGGAGAACTTTTTTTGTCTGATGACTTACAACGTATCCAGAACATGACTATAAATAGTAATGGAGTTCATATATACAATTTTAATACTGCTCTTTATCAAGCTGCACACACTGCATATATGCAGAGTAATTCTTTTCCCTGCCGGTGTAGGACTACATGTAAGCAGTTAATTCTCAGCTTTCATCTGTAAGTTATCAGTGACAAATATGATAGTAATAATTTTCACTTAGGAGGATACTCTTATTTTCACATGACTGTTTTCCATCAAAATACACAAGGATTCCAACTGACACAGAGTGTACTCTACACTTGAATAATTTATTCAGAAGGAAATTCATTTATTTCTGGGACAGGTTTGTCATCCTTTACAGAGGAAGTGCTGGTTTCTTCATTATTCATTCATTATTCATTATTTTTTCAGGATTCTCAAAAACGTTTAAAATCTACCATTGAAAAAATAGGAATTTAAGTATTTGTATGGCAGTTTCTAAAATAATATCTTCATGTACCAAACTAGTCACTATGAAAGTCTACATACTGTCGTGACCCCTTTGGTTATACCTGTAGAAAAGAGGATGGTTTTTTGTATTGCCAGTGATTTTAATGGTAACATATGAAGACCCATGCTGGTATAGAGATACAACATGTGAATTTTTCCAATGCTATAGTGGCATGTTTTTTGCATTTTTTTCTCCATGACACAAAATCATTTTGAGTATTATCTTTATAAAGTCACTAGGACACATATAAATTGCAGAGCACTTTTCAAATGCTAATTTGCATCCTAAAGTTTTCCTAGAACTTTGAACTTGTGTTACATTAAATGCATGCTTTCTTACAAGATAACTTCTGAAATACCAAAACTTTAGTTTACAAATGCATTATTCAACTTCTGCATTCCCTTGAAAAAAATCTTCCTGATGTCATTAATTCATTGCAATTGACTGACCATGTTTCTGTTGATATTTAATGCTATCATGCTGTCAAAGTAAGGTGATTTCTACAGCTCATATTAAGTGAGCCAATAACTTAATTCTGAAATCAGAATCTTGACTTTGCTCATGAAAAAAATACTTGAAAGCTAAAATTTGAAAGTTTTTTGCCTGAAGTATATTAAATGCTACATATTCACTGTTCTTTAAAATGTATTTAATGGAAAAATATGCTTTCATAGGCAAAGCTGCAGAAGAAGAAATTAAATCGTCATTTCTAGAAACATTAGGAGAGACCTGCAGCAACCCCACTGAAGTGTCCTATTCTGAGTTTGAAGATTACTATGAAGGATTAAGTTTTGGAATCGTGTGTGATGATGATTTTGTTAATATCTTAAGGAACTCTTGGGGTATTTAGAGTGGAAGATGACAAAAATGAAGAAGAAACATTTTCTAAACAAGGAGTAACTAAATAAGGGAGGATTTAATCTTGATGTGCATTGCTTTATAATTAGTGTGTTAAACTGATGTCAGGAACTGAAAACTTTAGATACTTTAAGAATAATATATGGCAAATTTCTTGGAGTGTCTGTTCAGCTATGCTAGCCACTCTGCTAATATAAATACTGTTCGTTTCATTTCGTTGGAAATAATAAAGGCTGTTTCTTATACCAAAAGCCATCTTTTTGATATTAGAATAAAGTGGCATATTTTAAAATAACTGGGAATTAGAATACTAAAATGCATGAAGGTGTATATGCAAGAGAAGATTTTGTTTTATGATGCATTGTGGAAAGTTTTAGGTTCGACTGTATAAAGTACCAATGGTAACTTTTCTTCAGAAAGTTTCTTATAACATTCTTTGTCTTGTTTCTTGTTTCTTATGGTAGCACTTAGCTTGAAAGAGAGCAGGTCATACTTTTCCAGTTTTGAGGGTGTTTGCAGTAGTGAAAGTGCAGAGACGTTCACAGCAACTAACTCCTTGGCTTATGGACCATCTTGACTGATCTTACTTTGTCATTTTGGTCAGGAATCCAAAGCTGAGCATTGAATCCCAAAGGTTTTATAAAGCACACATGAATTTTATAATGGATATCTTCCTTTCCTATATATTGCTAAGTGGTTTTCTAAACAAATAATTTATATTTAAATACCTGGGTTTTTTATATCCCTAGGATTTTTTTTAACTAAAACTTAGCAATTATATATTTTGTCGAATTGACGTATAGCATTTAATATCTACTCTGAAAGTATAAAACAGAAAAGTATTTTAAAAAAACCCAAAACAGCCACCTGTCACCACAAAAATTAAATCATAAAATATTCCCTGCTACTTCGAATATTCAGACAGATGCTTTTTTCAATGTAATACATCTTGTTAATTCTGTAAAATTATTAGTGTTAAGAAATAAAACAGTATTGTTAATTACACAGTGAGAGAGAGATAGCCTTTGGTTTCAATAGACCTGTCACTAAAATTTAACTGTATGTTGAACTGCATTTCTTAAGCCTATACAATTAAAATATATTAGTTCCTTAGAGCTTGTCTGTCTGGTTTTGAATTTATAGTCTGTGGTTAACACAACCTTCCTCTGAGACAGAATTTGTATTTCATAGGAATTAAGGGGCAGTGCTGAAATGGATGCTGAAATGAGGGACTTTGGTCCCTCTGTCGATGATGGGTATATTCTAGATATAGTACTTCCTTGTTCTAATAGCTTGTGCGTTTTTATTTTTTGGTTGTTCGTACCCTCAGTTGTAACAAGAATTTCAGTTTCTGCTCTGAATCTTCAAGTGAGAGATTTTGGAGGATTCTTTTGGGGCTGCAAAAGTCTGTGTGTATTGGTTTACAGGGAAAGGCAGATTTTATCAATGGTTATTCTAAGCAGGAATTCTGATGTGGCTCATTACAATTTTCTTGTTCACAATTCCTGCCAGACTTTCTCTTGATGGAAAGATTTTTTAAATTAGTGTTTCTGGAACTGGTGATTCTGAGAAGGGCAGTTTCATCTGGTTGTACAGGGATCTTCTTGTTAATGTGTCAGTTCAAATAACTGAAAAATACCAAGTGATTTTTATTAATTGTTTTAAGAATCACTTACTCTATTTAGACTTCCTCACTTAGAAGAATTGTACCAACAAATAAAACTGTAGCTCAATTTAATGAATGAAAGTGATGGTGAAGTGAGGTATTTTCTTTTTGCAATACTTAATTTTGTTGTGAAGCTTTTAGGAAGATTATTCCATGTTTTCCTATGGAATGGAAAAATTCATGACAAGTGGACATATCCTAAGCGGGCCTGCTTATCAGCCAAAGCTGTGTAGGTCACATCTGCTGTGAATTACTTGCTCTTTATTTTGTTCTTATCACAGAAATGAGGTGCCGTTATAACAATATTGTTGATGTTGCTTTGGTAGTCATGCATAATTTTTTTTAATCTGAAGGCAGATCCCTAACAGGGTAATCTAAGATAAATTCTAAAGGTCAGAAATTGCCTGGAAATACAAGCAGGTACTCTATAATTATGTGAAACCTGCTAAGTATATAATTTCTTTTAACTACGGGGTCTATTATGCAGGTCCTACTTGACCAGCCTGATTTCCTTTTATGACCAGGAACCTGCCTGGTTTATGCAGTAAAGGCTGTAGATGCTGTCTACCTGGACTTCAATAAAGCTTTCAATACTGCCTCCCACAGCATGCTCATGGGGAAGCTGGCAGGCTATGGCTTGGATGGGGGCACTCTTTGCTGAGTTAAAAACCAACTGGATTGCTGGGCCCAGAGAGTGGTGGTGAATGGAGTTACATCCAGCTGCTGGCCAGTCATGAGTGGTGTTCCCCTGGGCTTGGTACTGGGGCCTGTCCTGTTTAATATCTTTTGATTATCAATGATCTGAATGAAGGGGTTGAATGCCCCCTATGTAAGGTTGCAAACTGTGCAGGAGTGTTGATCTGCTGGAAGGTAGGAAGGCTCTGGAGAGGGATCTGGACAGGCTGGATCCATGGGGCAAGGCCAATGGTATGAGGTTCAGTAAGGCCAAGGCTAAGACCCGCACCTGGGTCCCAACAACCCCATGCAGAGCTGCAGGCTGAGGGTAGACTGGCTGGGAAGGACCTGGAGGTGCTGCTCAACACCTAGCATGAACATGATCCAGCAGTGTGCCAGGTGGCCAAGAAGGCCAATGGCATCCTGGCCTGTATCAGAAATAGTGTGGCCACCGGGACTAGGGAAATGATTGTCCCTCTGTACTTGGCACTGGTGAGTCCACATCTCAAATCCTGTGTTCAGTTTTGGACCCCTCACTTCAAGAAAGATGTTGAGGTATTGGAGCATGTCTAGAGAGCAGTGAAGCTCATGAAGGGTCTGTTGAGTAAGTCATATGATTAGCAGCTCAGGGCATGGGGGTCATTTAGCCTGGAGAAAGGGAGGCTCAGAGGAGACCTTATCCCTCTCTACAACTACCTGAAAGGAGATTGTAGGAGGTTGGTCTGTTCTCCCAGGCAATCAGCAACAAGACAAATGGAAAAAGCCTCAGGCTGTGCCAGGGGAGGTTCAGGTTGGACATCAGGAAAAAAATATTCACTGAAAGGGTGATTAAGCATTGGAATGGGCTGCCCAGGGAGATGGTGGAGTCACCGTTCCTGGAAGTGTTTGAGAAATGACTGGACATGGCATTTAACCCTATGGTTTAGTTGGCATGGTGATGCTTGGTCAAAGGTTGGACTCAATGATCTTGAAGGTATTTTCCAGCCTTAATAATTCTATGATCAGCTGCCTCAAAACATCAGGTATGGTGGCTATGGTGAATTTTTAACAACTTTCATAAAAGTCACTTTTATCTACCTACTGCTTTTCATTGTCTAAATTTCAGATGGCAGCAAACAATTCAAACCAGCTTCTGCCTAAGGCTTGCCCACCATGCTTACAGTCAGTAAAACACATGAAGTGTATTCAGACAAGGGTCTGTGGTGTCTGACTTGTCATTAAAAGTGGTCTCAATGCCCTGATTATTTGCATTCTGACTTGCTCTTATTCACTTTTGAACATTTTATGAACCTGAATTCTGTTCTGTCATCAATACTTTGTAGCTTTAAAACTTTCTGGAGATGTCTGCTGGAGTTTAATGCCTTTGTGTTTCAAACAAAACTTTTTCTACATTTGCTACATTTCTCAGAATTGCCCACGTTTTCCAAATTAGAATGTGTTCTTAGTTAAAGTGGGGTTCTCAAAGAAACTGGCTGGCTTCTTCCCTGAAACTCACTGCTTAATAGAACTAATAGTCTTCATGCCACCATGATTTACACTTCTGCTAAAAAGTTTTAGCAACTTGCTGCAGTTGAGAACATCAGAAGTGCATTATGCTGTGAACATATTTTGTCCTAGTAGATGTGCAGGCTCCCAGAAGACAAGTAGAAATTAAGTGAAGTGATATAACTCCTTATTCTCAGGGTCTGTAAGTACTTCATAAAATGAATATGCACTGACGCTGTAAGCTGGAATGTGTAAGAGCACTTGGAAAAAGCAGAACACAGGCACACAGAGCAGAGCCTTCGGTAGCTTCACTCTGTTTGCTAATGGAAGTCCAGCGTCCTCACCTGGGATAGCTTTGTTGCTGAGAGGAGGTGTTGTTACTGATTCACACTCAAAAACTCATTTGTCTTCCGTAAGATTTACTGCCAGCTGATCAATTGTATGGGTCTTTGTGACCAGAACAATAAAAAGATTAAAAATATTTCTACCAATGTGTGTTTGTAGGGAGGTGCTGATACTTTTGGATGTGGGTTACTTTGGTGGGTTTTTTTTGTTTGTTTTTAGGGTTTTTTTGTGTGATTTTGATTTTTTTTGTGGGTTTTTTTTTTAGGTGGGTTTTTTTTGCTTGTGGGATGTTTTTTTGATTTTGGCTTTTTTGGTTTGTGGTTTGCTTTAGTTTTGAGCATGCTAGCACTAGATAGTAAAAAAAGAAAGCCTAGAATTGATTTCTGACATGTTGAACAAAACAGGTAAGTTTCTGTGGCAGAAAAAGGAAAGGTGGAAATCACATGCATTTTTTTTTTCTGGATATTACTCTAATTTATCCTTCTTCATACTCAGCAATTTAGAGACTGAGGTAGTTCAGTACTTCATCTTCTTAACCATCTTGTCTTTGAGAAGCTGAGTCAGAACTACTCTTGTAAGCCTAAGACATTTCCAGTGATGAAAGAGACAAGTAGTATTTCCTTCCAGGTCTACTTAGGCTATTTTTTCCACAGGGAACATTTATAAACATTAAACAAACTGAAAGGTACTTAGGAAAGAAATGTGGTAAGACATTACCTGCATGATGACCTTATGAAATATTTTGTTTTGTGGCTCCTATACTTTTTTGGCACTCATTTTTGATTGTGAGGAACTCAAGGCTTAAAGATGATAAAGCACCTTGAGGGAAAAAAAATTAAATCTGTTTATCACAGATTTCTTAATGTTTATCAGAGGATTTGTTCTGTTTACCTGGAATTTATAGAATCTGACTACTTGTTTTCTGGCTGTTTTTTTTTCCTCCTCACTCATGTGTTACATTTTGGATGGAATTAATTGGAGTTGTGCACAGAAACTTCTGTATTTGTTACCACTGGCAGAATTTTGTGTGTCCAGCATCCCCGGAGAAGCAGCTTCAAGATAAGAAAAGTAACAGCCATTTCTTTGTGCTTTGGTTTTTTGCAGGCTGCATTCTTACGAAAGATGTTTAATATTTTAACATCTTTTGCTGGCTGGTGTATTTTTTTTTTTAGCTCTTCTGACATTTTGCTGTTATTTCCTCTCCCAATTTTAGGAGAAAACAGGAACCTGACAGACTCTGAAAAATGTAGGAAAAATGGTATTTAGAGGGTGTGCTGTCTAGGTATTTAGCAAATGAGGATTCTCCCTTTGGAAGCCTGACACTACTTTCGAACTGCCCTTTCGAGAAGTCTCAAAGGACCTCTTTGGTGGACTCCTTCCAAGCAGACAGAGACCTGAAAGGTTCTCCTCATGGACAGTGGAGGTCAGGAGGCATAAGCACTGATGAGAAGGTCTAACCTCGTGGTTGGCAGGGGCAAAGTTACCTGCTTTGGGTCCCAGTGGAAGGCAGGGACACCTTCCACTAGACCAGGTTGCTCAAAACCCCATCCAACATGGCCTTGAACACTTCAACCTCTTCCCCGTATTTCTGTTTTATGCCACATCTCACATTTGGTTGTAAATTGGGAATTAAACTTGGCAAGATCTGATTAATTAAGGTTCAAAAGGGCTCTA